TAACGGAATGAAAAGGGTGCCTTTGAACTTACGAGATCCTTTGAGCACAAGAACCGGGGATGATGAATGCTTCAGAAGGCTGTAAGGAATCCATTTGGCCAGGGCCGCCAGGGCCCAGAAAAAGAGCTGCAACGGTTTCTTCGACAGAACGGCGGCGGGATTGGGACAGCAAACCTGGCCGTGTGGGGGAAGGAGATTTGACTGTGGGTCATGGCGTCAAGATGCCTTGGTTGACCTACCTTGAAGATCTTGAAGCTCAAGCTACATGGTGGACCAGGGCTCCAGGTTTTGACCCATCCCCATCTGGCAAATCCATGAGTGGCTGGGGAAGGGTGAGCTTGATTTCATCGGCAGAGTGAACTTGCCGAACGAACTGAGCTGAGTGAGGGTTCGACAGCTCACCCCAGGCGTGTCCATGATTTGGCTTGGTTGTTACTACTGTTCTCCGGTTTTTTTTTGACACTTGGAGTTTGAACGAGAGACGGGATCCTTCTAGCCGTACTTGGGCACCGCGTGTAGCCAGTGACAAGACGCTGAGCTTGACGTTTCGCCCTCAAAGGGCAGTAGATCGTGGCAAACCAAGGAGGCCGAAGAAGTACACCTTCCGTAGAGGTCCGGTCGGACACAGTAAAGCCAGAAAGTCTCATTCAATCCTGCTTTGAGATGTTTCTAGATGTATTATGTGGTGTGTGACCTGTAGGGCTTGATTGAGTGAAGAGCAGAGAAGTTCAATGAAGCTCACTTTAGTCCAACTTGTCTATCCGGCCAATTGGAATACCGAGCACCTGTGTGGAACGTGTGGCCTCCTGGCGCCCAAGTCTGTCTCACAAGCGCGGCACCGGCTGGTGGCGGAACCAGCACCGTCACCCAAAGCAGGACCGGCCCTTCGGAAAAGTGGCAGAGACATGACACATTTGATTGCCACAGCCTGATCATGAATGATTGAATGAATACCTTTGTTAGGCCTGTTAGATGCTAACGGCTTCAGCTCGTGAGTGAACGATGATGGCGCTCCAGCTCACGTGAACGGCTCCGGCTCACGTGAACGGCTCGTTCCGCAGCGTTTGTCTCTCAACGGAGCGATCGGAATCCACGGTGGTCCAGGGCGGTCCACGAGTGAAGCGCTGATTCCGGAGGTGCCGGGGTCAGCCGGAGGAGTGAAGGGGCAGTCGGTGTGCAGGAGTCCAAGTGGTGACCCAGGTGGTCCAAGTCGAAGACACCATCGCCGAATTGGTTTGGTGTCTCGGGGGGGGTTCTGCAAGAAGCACCCTTTCTCAACCACATGATTGTGGATAGTCAAGTATATTCTATATAATGCGTTACCCGGCTTTGTTTGCCATAGTTTTTGCCCACAGCCATGCATGGAATATATTTGTATGTGCCCACTCTATCCATTGAGTTTCATATATAGAACCAGGCTATTATGTGCCCACCCTCACAGGGCGAGCATGGTAGTGGGTGGTGGCTATCAACAGGTAAACAGAAAAGACTGAACATCCCAATGTAATCCACATTCAAACAGTGGTGTGTTTCACTTGGTTCAACAGCTTGGGCGTCCTGGAGAGGCGTTAGCTGCTAAGCTCCGCGCCTGCCTTGCTGCCTGCCTTGCTGTGAATTTGGGTGGGTGGGGCTCGGTATTTTTTGAGGTACAGTAATGAGTACTTAAGCATGCTTAGGCCATTCTTGCCAGGGCCTACTTTTACTCCTGGTGCTACATCCGGAGGATTTTGAACAGCCTACTTCCCCATAGAGCCCGGAGGGTGCATGCTTCAGAGCTTTGAACTTCATTTGATTTTGCCAGAATACAGTCGACACAATCTTCCGCAAAAGATCTGCGCAATCTTCCGGACAAACCACAGGCAACTCGAATGGTCCTTCGCCTTGAGCGAACCTTCGCTTTTCGGAGTGTTTTCAGACGACAGAAACCATGTTTGCAGCTGCCTCCCAAAAGCCCTCGCAAACAGCTTCCTAGATACTTAAGTGCAATTTGTTCAAGCCTTTTCAGAGAGCTTATGATGTGGCACAGACATCGTGACATCGCCAAGCATTTGAGCGGCACGGCCTCGTTGCAGTGTGGCTTAGAAAAGTTGGGCAGATTTTGTGGAGACTTTGAGCGCAGCCATGGGTACCTGGGCGGCACCGAAGAGGAGGGGATGTAAGACTTGTTCTTTGTTTAGGTGCCCGGGTGCGCCCAGGAAGGTGCTAACTACACCTCCAAGAACACTGTGGGCGGGAGCCTGGATAGCCTTGGCACTTTCAAGATCTTCCAAGCTCTTCATGGGAATAGCATGGAATAGCTGGAATAGCTAGTTTACATTGTTTTATGCAATTCTGCCGCATAATATGCGTATGCAGATATCTGGACTCCATGTTGCACATAGTTGACAGACCTTTGGATATCGGTGATCGAGTTTCGATGGAGCAGCGCTTTTGCCCCGCTGGGCGCCCAACTCAGCCTGCAAGACAGGTCTCGGTGGCATCACGTGGATATCCGCGGGCCCCTGCTTCCAAAGACTGTGGTTTGCCAAAGACTGAAATGGTTTAAATGGGGCTCCAGTCGTACCTGCTCAGAAGGTATTTGGACCCTCCAAACCCACCCCAAACACCTTCTCACACTGCAGCGTGACTGGCGGACTCGAGGCAGCCATATACGTACGACTGAAAGACAGAAAAGTCTATTTTCAATACCAGCACGTTCAAAGGGGTCATTATTGGAAGCCCCTACGCTACTTAGGGATCTCCAATGGACACAGGTTTATATTGTAAAGAATAAATGTCCGGGAATCAACTGCGTTGTTTTTTGTTCTCAGTCTCACCCAAAATTTTGGGGTTCAGGAGACCCTCCCGGTGATACGACTTGTCAACAGACGTGGTGATACGCCTGGGCGTTTGATCTCGTGACTGGGGCATTTGTAGTGCAGAAAGAGTCTTTAATCTTTCGATGATACAACCTTAGGATATCGCTACAATGTAGACTCTTGATTAAACATCCCTGCCATTTGGATTGTCAAACCTCTTCATTGCAGCCTGCATTGGAGTCTTTTGGAGGTCCTGAATGAGAATATACAGAGGACGTTTGCCAGGGAAATTATGCTCCATTAAATATTGGAGTCACTGGATGTACGGCATTTCGTCCCGGAAATAACCGCTACATGAACCCTTTGGGCATCTTACTAAGGGGCTCTTCACGGTTTTGCTCCGATTGCACGTTGAACCATGCCCGGGCCAAGGTTTGCTACGCTCAGAGCAGATGAAATATGGCCTGCCACTCGTTGTGAACTGCATGGGTTTTGAAATCCTATGGCTCGTGACTCATAGGATGGGTCCTTGGACGGGGCTGAGGAAGTCATCCATTGGTCGAGCTGAGGTTTGAACCCGGCACTCAATAGAATTTCAGTTGGGGCGGGTCTCTAGCATACACGATGGGCTCATCAGCTCATCTATGAAGCTTCCTGGAAGGATGGAATGAAGCTGAAAACTGAAGCCGATTTGGTACCCGGCCAGGTCGTCCCTACACCGGGTCCCTTTTCGTTGGGTTTTTTAGAGCGAGAACTGTGCACTGCTTAGATTCAGATTGATTTAAAGCGATTTAGAGAGTCATCCAAACTTGTGAGCCCGAGGATGTACAGAATGTACTACAGAATGTAGACTCTTGATTGATAAAAACAAAACGACGAGTTGGATTGTAAAACTCTCATCAGGCCTGAGGGGGGTTATGAAGTCAAGAGTCCACATATCTACATTCATTAAAGACAAGCTATCTTAAGGAACACATGTGGACATAATGTAGAATTATGTTCATATGATATCATATGATATCATTATCTACATTCAAGCTTGGTCCATATTATGGAACTTCTGAAGTGCAACAAATTCAGGACCAAGCTTCCCATTTGGGATTTGCCACCCACAGCAGGGCTCATTCTTGTCGCCCCTGCTGGGGCCCGCAGATGTGCCAGGTCTTTCTTTGCAAGGCCGCGTTGGGAATTGGGGAGCAGCCAGGAATCTCGTTCCCACGTCACCTGTGGCCGGAGGGAATGAACGAAAAAGACATGGGAACTCCACGTCCCAGGCCGACCCCTGACATCCCTCGTCTCTCCTGACATCCGTTGTCTCTCGTCTCTCCTAGGCTGGTACTACCAGTGAATGAGGCCCACCGGATTGTCGCACGGCTCGGCAAGGATGCCACGCTACAGCGCCTGGGCAGCGTGCTCGGTGATGATACAACCAGTGACCAGTTGCACCCAGTGCACCACATGAACCACTTGGTTTTGCTTATGTATATATAATATATATATATATATATACGTATTGATTTACTTATTTTTCCCCCTGTGGGGTGGATCCCCTTTTTGGAAATTTTTCCCCCGCTCCTTAAGCAAATTGGAGCAAAAGGTTCCATGATTTGTTCACAACAAGCAGGTTTGGCAGATGAAACCCTTTCGTTGATAGAGCAAGTGCGTGTCGCTGGGGGTTTTGGAAGTCAAGCTTTTGAGTTGACTTACAGAAGGGGCAACTTTTGCTACATGCACTTGCTTTACAGCGGACTGCGTGTGAATGGAAGAGGAATAGAAAGAAGAGAATAGACCTCCAACACATGCTGAATGCTCGTGATGGGTTCAGGTGGCTATGCGTCCACAATCTTTGGAAAGCCCTCAGTGCCGAAGACTGTGTAGCGTTTGCCATTCATTGGCCTGCCACACCTCCTCTTCAGACAGGGAAACTGTGTAAGAAAGATGCTGGCGACAACCTGGGCCACCTTGGTCCAATACTGTAGCCTCTAGAAGGACTTTGTTCAATCACTGATGAGTCTCTCTTGAATCTTAAGGGTAACAAGCCGTATTATTGGACCTCCCGCTGCGTCGGCAAAAGCTCAGTGATCAACTCTTCAATGTTCCATGACAGAGGCTTGGGGGAGCTACAGGAGAATCACGAAGAAAACACCATTGCCATCCCGCCCTTCGAAGCTTTTGAGGTTTGAAGACGACAACGCCCGGGACATGCGCCGGCCCTACCGGAAGCACATCCAGCGAATCGAAGCATGCTTGCATATAATAGAGATTAATAGAGTGACATCAACGAGGATCAGTTGCACGGCAATGGAGATCAATTCATGTGACCCATTTCAAGCGACATGTGTATGCAACATATTGATGGTGGGTGGGCTCATGTGTATGCAGGGTATGTGTATCTCACCATGTGTATGCCACTGCGTATGAATATTCATTGCTCATCCACCCTTAGGCCCCAGTTGACTGGCCACCATCCCATGTGAGACTCTTGGTTGGGAGACCAGCGATAGCTGTGCTGACTGTCAACCGCGCCCTTCAATCGAGCTATAGTGATTTAAGGGGGTTCAATGGTACAGACCCCAAGATGTCCTAGACTCTAGACAGATGGGGGCCCATATCAACCACCAAACTTGGAGATTGTGCCATCCACTGAACCTCCACCCCACCGAAACAGCTGCATCTACCCGCAGCCTCACGTGTTAGGACGAGATGGAGCGGATCTTGCGCTTCCTGGTGGGCGAAATCTCAGGCATTGAAGGCTGCGAGATCCTGAAGAACAAGGCAGCACGGCGGGATCAAGCTGCCACCGAGCTGAGAGCAAGCCAAGCTCGCAACTAGCTGAGAACTGTATATAGTGCAAACAGCAACACACGATGAAGACGCGTGAACTAGCCAATTACAATTTAGGAAGATTGACAATTAGGGAACCGGCACTTTCACCTTTGAAAGACGAGCTTCCTTCAGAAAGCTATCGGTGTTCAGCTTCCACGTGAATCTTCCGTTTTGATCACCAGCCACTCAACCATAACGCTGCCGATTAGGTCGAGCGGCATTGGTGGGGTTTGGCGCGCTGCTCGCAGAGTCGTCCATTCTCAGGTGGATGAGTTCATGCGCTTCGAGGATGCCTATACACTGGAAGGGGTCGAGACCGAACTCCAGTCCTTGTACAAGCACTTCATGAAGTTCAAGGACTCACTGAGACTATGACCGACCCATGTTTCCCACACATGGAGCTGTGACATGTGATGACCCAATTTTCCTACACATACCAAGAGCCTGGGCAACCTCTAGCGCAGGACCCGGTTCGCAGTCGGACTCCATTTCTGACAACTGAAAGGTAGACCTCCCTCCTGTGTGGATCGCGTCGATTCGCTTCCCAAACCGCGGACGGGACGGGAGCGAACGGGACCCGAGCGAAGCCTCCGGACCGTTCCGACACGGAGCCGGCCGTTCGGCGTCGCACTGCAGAGGGTCGGAGGGTCCGATGGTTTGAATGTTGAAGGTTGAATGAAGTGGTTGACTTCTGAACTTCTATGATCCAACACGGCTGAAACGGACGCCTGAACACATGAAAGGCTGGAAACTGTGCTGGGCTTTGAGATCAGCTTGAGGCCTCAATCTTCCCCAGATTTCATGGACTCAACACACATTCCTTTGGACATTAAGAGTTTGGCCACTGGCTCACTGGAAGACCATTCTCCTTTACAAGCAGGGTTTTGCTCAGCCTCCAGTATGTTTGAGGGAGGGCACGTGAAATTGGGTGGGTGATGGTGTGTTGATTGGAATTTGAGTTGCACCTCATGGGTTCCCTCGTTGTTTGGCGGTACCCGATGTACCTAATTGGAGGGCTCCCTAATCCTCCATCATCAGCTTTCCAGGTTTCAAGGAGGTTGGAGTGGGGACCGATAAGCTCTCACAAAAAGACCATGTGAAAAAAGGCAGCCCGTCGCTTCTGGAACGGGGCTCCAGCCACATCCTGAGAAGGTTGTGGTCGATTTGAGGGGTACAGCTACCTTACTCAGGATGCGGTTGGAGCCATAAGGAATTGTTGCATGAGAGTCCCCACAGATATGCGCATCGGTTTTGAGGAGAACAATGTGAGCCTGACCAATGAGCGTAATCAGGCCCGCACTGGGCCGTTGTGATGGTTGAGCTTGAGGACCTTGGAAAGAGCTTGGACCCAGCCAACTGATGAGGTTTAGATAGTGAGGCTTGATGGAGCGTTAGCCCTGGATTCCCTCGTAGCCTTGCTATAGGAGGCAAGAAGACTCGTCCATGTGACCATGTGCTGTGCACGTTAGTCTTTGACTCGGTCTTTGCCTGCAGAGACCGTCCAAAGGGTGCTTGCATTGGCCGGCCACAGAACTGATGCTTGCACATACCCCAGACATGTGTAATGGGACTGCCATAGGACTGCCGCCCCAGAAAGACTCCCCTGGCACCACCCCAACTGATCGGCATATATGGCCCCATGGAGTGTCTGGGTACAGCTACATGGAGTGTTTGGGATTACCCTGGTGTAGCCGCTATGCCTTTGCAGCTGTTCAGGCCGTTGAGGAGGCCGAGGTCGTGGCTGTGGCCAAGGTGGCGGCTGCACAGCCGGTGTGTGTGAAAGGAGGAAGTGCCTCCCTTTTCATTTGGTGGCTTTCAAGGGAGAAAACGCGAAGAAATCAATATAGTATACCATGATGTACCAAGTTCATTTGGCTTCATCGCTGTCACACCGGAAAATAGACTGTTTCTTTCAGACTGCCGGGGTCAAGGAGCTTGAGTCTTCGGATGTTTCATGCTGTTTGCCGTTTATCCATCCAGAATGTCTAATTACCAGCAGTGACAAAGGGGTGCTTAATGGAGGATTGGTGTGACTTTGGAGCGGATGCTCTCCATCCCCCGTTTGAACCCCGGCGCCACGGGGTGCCCGGCTGGTGAAGAAGGTCGGTCGAACAGGGCCGGGTGAACAAGGACCTTCAGTTGCTGTCAGGTATGGTCATGAATAAGCTATAATAAGCTTCCTGTCCTGACTGTTGGGTGGTTTCAAGCATGACCTCTCGAGAGATCGGTCACGCCCTAGCTTCGCCTCCGCGCGTAGGGTATGTTGGCGGGCTCCATGGGCGGTCCCCACCTGGATGTGGACGACGAGTCCTTCGAAGCGAGTGCCAAGAAACCACTGGTGGTGCCTTGGACGGGGAGGGAGAAGTGTTGAAGAGGTGGGGGAAGTACACTATCCCTATAGGGCTCCTGGCCCACCTGAGAGGTTCGGGGGGGTTGAATACCACCGAACCTGAGGATATGGGACAGGAGCCTTAGGGTATAGTCACTAGTTCGGATGTGGAAGAAGGTCTTGATGTGCTCAACAACCTGAGGAGGGAGAGAAGCTAAAGATTGATTTTGAGAGAGTTTGAGGACATTGTTTTGGGGAAAGGTGCTTTACCTTTGTGGCGGCCTTTGTCAGACCTTATATAAAAGTTATATTGTTATTATATTTGGTAAGCGCCAGATCAACGACTTCATCCAGGTTTGTGAATCCCACAGTGGAATGAGATATCCAACTCCAGATGTGGATTGATTGTTGCATGAAGGTTGTGATTGTTTTGGCCCACATGCACAATAGCATGGAACACCTATACATGCACCATATCTTATTTCTATCTATAGAGCGCCTGAAAACAACCCACCCGGACTGGTCGGAACGTGTTGCCGGTTTAGTCCCATGGACTGTTTGGATACAGTAGTTTCAGGAGTAGATGGCACTGGCACCCCAAGAGGTCTGTTAGATGGGGGGTCCATACAAACCACCAAACCTGGGGATGATGCCATCTTCGAGCTGTCTCCGCAACAAATACTACTGAGGAAGCAGAGGGTGGTGGTGGCAGGCCCGGGAGGGAGAGGTGCAGTCATCGAAAGCACAACCATTGCCTGTACCCCAGACAAAAGTTGCCAACCTGTACAAGCTGGGAGAGATTAGTTTAATGCTAGGCCTTCTATCAAGGCATCGTTGAAATAGGTGAAGTTTCTCCAAACATGTCTCCAAACATTTTGGCGAACTGCCATCACTGATGCCACTCACCAGTTATATCTCCGATGGCCGGTGCCATAATTTTTGTTCCCTGAGCAAGTTTGCCAGAGTTCACCTTGATTTGTCCTTTCCAACGGACCGCCATTGGAATTCCAAGCTTTTGCCACTCGTTGAAACCGAGGAAAGGGGTGTTGGGTGGGGGCGAGTACTTGGGGATGGGTCAAGACAGCAACTGTTGACGTACAGGGCTGTGGGCCTGGGACAGGCATATCTCCGTCTTGCGGAAGGCTTAAGCATCACCCAGAAGTGGGTCCTCAGTACTGTAGCTGTAGGCTTTGCCAAGCATAGAGGATGTTCTTTTCAAGCACCTACTGCTACTAGTCGCATCTTCAAGACTTCCTGGGCAAACAGGCATGCTTGGAAGGTGCATACCTCTCGGGGCTTTCACCACTTACCGTCAAACCATGGGTTTATGTATATATGTCGGGCAAATGGCTCTTCCCTGTGTTTTCTGGGACCCTCAAAACCGTCGGATCAAACAGGAAGAACGGGGGCACCCGCCGACCTGGACCATCCATTTGGGGTGTCCAAGGAGTGTAGGAGAGGGCTGGTGGGCGTCCAGCTGCCGGACACCCAGACAGGATGGTGCCGGTATCAATGTTTTGTGTGTTCCCTACACCTCCAGTCGTACATCCTCAGAAGGTAGTTGGAACCTCCGGGCACCCACCCCAGTCCCACTTTCTCATTGAAGGTACTTGGAGCCCTAGGGCTTTGCTTCGAGCTGTCTCCTATAGGGTTTGGGGGGTCTAATTACCTTCTAAGTATATATAGTTGGAGCCCTATAGGGATTGTTTGTTTTTCAGACTCTCCTTTTTTCGGTTTCTGCATACTCTTGCCGTATCTCCGCAGGCTTGGCTACCTCGCTGGTGTGGTGCCGAAGGTGGACGAGCAGCGCTTCACGCGAGCCCTGTGGCGCGCGGCACGCGGCAACACCTTCGCGCAGCTCGGCGGCGGGCCTTAGACGGAACAAGAACACTGGTTCATGGACCCTATAGGGCTCCAAGCACCTCAGAAGGTGGTTGGGGTGGGTGCCAGAAGGGTCCAGGTCAAAACTGTTGGCTCGGTCCTATATATTTGGGCCTTGAGCCTCCAGTTGGATGGGACAGCCTAATTCGGATGCGTTATATAGATATCGTTCCTTCTCAGAACATGGATGTGATGCGTACTGATCAGATGAGTCCTGGTTTCGTTCTTCCTTTCTGCTCCGTACCACGTCCCTCGCCGGCGTCTCGCCGGCGTCTCATGCCCCTTAAGGCAGTTCACCCCCATCAGCGAGACGGTCAAGGATCCCAAGACAGGCACGGTCGATCTGCAGCACGGATCGCGGGGGCCGATCTGCTGGTGGCCAACTTGGCCAGGTTGGGAGCCGGAGCTCCAACCATCCCCAGCTTCACGGTCTCCAAGAGATCTTTGGAAGTGGGGTGTCCATTCACCAGCCCGGACTGTTGCACAGGGGGGGGGTCACTGCATGGTTCTACAAGGTTTGACTCGTGAGCATCCAGGTATGGAATCGTTACATGCGCTAGGGTCACACATGATGAGGTAGATGTATTAGGAACTCTTCCGGTCTCATGGATGGTTTGGGTACCATCATTTCGTCATCATGATTGTCCCCGCAGTTGACCGTCCACACCGCCGTAGTTGGGGCCCTCGATGACCTTACACCATCCAAAAGGCGTCCAGACCCTGGGCTTTGCACCATCGAAGACCCTGGTTTTGGCGGATCATCATTCTTTGGTTTTTCAGGGTTAACTTTGGGAGCCTATAGCTTTCAGAATTTGAACCAAGCACCCAAAAACATATTGCTGCTCAACAACGTGGGAAGAAGAGGATTGTGAATAAAACCTCTGAGTATACCTTATGGGCAAAAATTTCCGTAGTTAATGTATATAGTGGTTGTGTAGTTGTATTGTAGATTCTTTCATCGACTAGTCTGACTAGTCTGTTCCACATGACCTCCCAGGCGTCCCTACGGCCTCCCACCGCTGACGCGCTCGCAGTCCGTGTGTGTCCGGACAGGTCAAGAGGTGCAGAAGAGTGTCTTTGTCGTGTACTTTCAGGTGAGGTGACGCCCGTCCGGCGGTCATTGTTTTGGCGTTTGGATTCGCCGAACGACTGATCTAACTCGATCTCATTGAGATTGGAGCAAGAATCGGTAGACAATTTGATATCAGGAAGTCCGAAGTCGTGTTATGTTCGTGTGGCTGCACAAGGTTTGGTCCCAACATGCTCTTAAAGAATTACCTTTTTTTGTTGCAAGTTTTTCCCACAAAACCGCAGACACTCCATCTCCGGAACATTTACCTACATTGTGCACTTCTGAAACTACTCCAATGTGGGCAAATATGTCACAAGGAGTGCGAACAGATCACAGCGAACTGTTCACATGTCTATTTTTGAGGCACCTCTATTTTTGTTTACCCACTGAGCCCAGCATCTTCCTTCCACAACCTGGTTGTGGTTTGAGGTCACTTAGGGATACTATGGGATACTCAGGGGCTCCAAAGTTCAGTCACTTGGAAGAAGCTGGAACACGGTGAGAGAATTAGATGGTCAGCTTGCAGGCTCCCCAAACATCTACTCAATATATAACCTCTTCTAGATTCTAGACTCGGTTCTACCGTAGGTAACCAATGACCCTCCACTTGTAAGCAGCACAGGATGACTTTGTTTGTAGGGATGACTTGGTCCGGTTCCCCTTCTGCGCTCGCACAACTGAGATGTTCGCTCCGACCACCACCGTTCCGACGGGGTTGACCCACCAATGGCGCCGGCGCCGGCGCAGGGCGCGGGTGGACCAATGCAGCAGAAGGTCATGAAGGTTTGTTCAGCCTTTGGATGCTCAGCAGAAGATGGAAACACACATTGGAAACAGGGGGTGTTGGCGCTTCGGGGGTGGTGCCACCGTACTGCGACACCGAACCGTGGAGTCATGAGTGCTGCCAAGAAGTTCACATGGTCAAGACGAACCTGGGCATGCCTTCGACGTAGACGTAGCTATAATCCCTAGGGATCCAAGTACCTTCTCAGAAGGTGATTGGAGACACTCTTATGTAGGTTTTGAGGGTCCAAGTACCTTCTGAGAAGGTACTTGGATCCCTAGGGAATGAGTATCTCAGGTGTTCGTGTGTGACGAACCTTGGTCGCTTTGTGTGACGTAGCTATAATGAGTCCATTTCTTGTGTCCTTCTCTTTGCGTGGAAAAAGCAGCGGAGCGAACTGATCATCACATGCTTTACATGATTGATTTATATAAAGCCAAAGGTGGACGCTGTGAGAACCCTACAGTGGTTTCAGAGTAGATGGCACAAACCTGAATATGCCATACAAACCACCAAACTTGGCCTTTTGGGCGTTGTCCCATCTATTCTGAAACCACAATAAATTATTTGACCAATGGGTGGAACTGGTGTCCAGTATTGCGATGCTTGGGTGATGTGTGGGTGCTTAGGATGGGGTGATGCATTCACCAGGATGGGGATGGCCTACCAAAGATGAAGTGAACAAGGCTAATGCTGTTGGAGCTCTTTGTTTCCAGCTTGTGAATGAATGAGTTTCTATGTTTGGATTGACCAGATGAATCTTGCACTCTGGTGATTCATGCAGGTGGATTGGTTTGGTGTCTTACAGTAATAGCTTAGGCATTACATATTTGATTGGCGGGTGGGATTGCAGGGAATCTCGACCCTCACCTAACCACCCCAGGAGGACCCAATCGAACACGAAGACTCTTGGCCCATAAGACCCCAGGAGGACCCGACGGCGTTGGTGAGGTGTGAACATGTACAACTGGCCAGTGAGTTCGGAGCAAGCTGCCTCGCGACACGCGCAGCTCAAAAAGGTTGTTGGGGAGCCCCAGATGTTAGTCAAACGCTAGTGAAGGCTCAGGAGACTCAGACTTGTCTTTCTAGGTGCTTTGGCGAGACAGGCTAGGGCGTCCGGGGGTTGCTTTGGCATTGCTTTAACTGCATGGTTTTGCTGGAGGTTATGTTTATTTTCCCGCATGGGTGAATCCTCTTTGGTGAATCTTTTGGCCGGCTGGACAGCAATCGAAGATTGGCATTGCTTTCTTGTGTTTTCTTTTTATATAAATTTGGAAGACAACTGCACTTTGACCTTCGGTTACCATTGAAGGCTTGAAGACTACCTGTTGAATCTTGTTTTTCAGACTTGACGATCACCTGTTGGCTGTTTTCTTTGGCGGCTATGACTATGACTGGGAAACCACATTGAGTCCAAACTGTTTCCCTAAATCAGGCCTTTCTGTCGACTGGGAAGGCACACCAGTGGTGAACCATATCCTCAGAAGGTGGTTGGACCCCCGCACGTGGCCTCTTCTCAGGGTGGTTGGAGCCAGAGGGGACTGTGTTCGATCCGACTTATGGAAAACAGCAGGAGACAGCTTGAGACCGCGGCTCAACCCTGACCGGGCCGCCCTTCAGGTGGCTGAGAAGGACGCGGCGCTCAAGGGCTTTGCCGAGCCTCGGAAGTGCATGGAGATGCTGAAAGGGGAATCGTGGCCCGGCGGGGGCTGAAGGGTCGGACGCAGGTTTCCCATTCACAGTAGGTGGAGTTGAAACCGAGTCGCTGAGAGCTATCTCATCAGAAGCTACAAATTAGTGGTTCCTGGCCTTACTAGGAGCGATCGGACGCTACGAACGGGGCACCTGGCATCGCTACTAGTAGCAGAGTAGCAAGAAGCTACTAGAAACAAAGGGCGTTGGTACTAGTTGTCCACTGGACATCAATGACGTCAGAAGCGCTGGAAAGCAGCACTGGACATCAAAGCTTCTCTTTGGGGACTCCAAGTCCCTCGCCCAGTGAGGGTCAGCCTGAAGAGGCCTTGATGGAGCCTGATCTGTGTAGATACGGTAGGTAGTTTTGGTTGAACAAACAGAGTGGCGGTGGCAAGATGTAGCGCTTTGCCAGCAGTAGCTCGAGAACACGTCTCTCACCCAACAACCTTGTTTGTCTATGTTTGCGCTTTGATTGACAGTTGTCAGGAATGACCTTTTTGCCTCTTGGGCTTACCATCCAAATATTCAGGATATCATGCTGCCGATGCTGGTCGAAAATCAACCAATCTCTTGGAGACCCCTGAAGTGAAACCGCTTCATCTTTGAAACTTCACAAACCTTGTCTTTGTCTCCAGTCTCAGCCAGTCTCCACCTCTTCTCTCAGCTGGTCGGCCTTGGAAGTTGGGGACCAGACTTCTTAAGAACCCAGTAGCCATTGACGCATGCCAGGTGCCACCACTCAGTGGTTTCAGAGGTTCAATCGCACTGGCACCCGAAGATGTCCTAGACAGATGGGGGCCCATATAAACCACCCCCAAACTTGGGGTAACTTGTGCCATCGAACCTCTGAAACCACTCCAGTTGACCCCCAAAAAAATCCACAGCTCAAGCAGCTGCTCCTCCCACGCGACACGCATCGTTTGTTCTTTTTTTTTAAAGAAGCTTCTGGTGAAGGGGTACAGTGGCCCATGGTGAACCAATTAACATAATGTAGAAAAACAGTTTGCAAATGTTTGCAACATTTCAATCGACATTTTTGTCCAGCAATATCCAGCAATTGTTGAATATGTCAATCAATGTCCAAAACAGTTGACACAATTGCTACAACAATTTTGACCGATGATTAAGCAATTCAACACTTGCCAAAACCATTTCAAACCATTTCTCTATATCCCCAAAGGTCCCGGACTACCAAGCTTCTTGAACACCCATCCACGCCGCAATACGCGTTAGCTCGTCTCCTCCCAGGACTTTATGCGCTCAGAGGCCCAGGACCTCTTGACGCCGCCCAGTGTCTCGGTAGGATGATGTAGGGGATGTAGGGATGTCTCAGTCCTCTCAGATTGGTTGCTTGTCTTTGTTCTTTTTGTCACGCCCCCCCGCCTTTGACTGTTCTTTTGTTTGTGTGTTCCTTTGGTTTGAGGAAAAGAAAGCGCGTTGCTTTAGACAAACGGTGGGTTTTACCAGCTCCTCAGCTGATGGATGAGCTCTGACTGAGTCTACTCTTTTCTGTGAAGAACCAGCACGGAAATCGGGCATTCTACCTCAGTGCTCTTGGCCACGCCCAGACCATCTGCATGGGCTAGCTTGCGATGGCGAGCCCGACTGAGGTCATAGCCCGGCCGGTAATTCCAAGATCGAGGAGTGGCGGCTCTTTTGCATCAAGGAGAAGTGGCTCTTTTGGTCCAACGCTTTTTGGACAGCGCTGTCCTATATAAAGTGTAGGTGTTCGTCAGACCCATCCTAGCTCTCATAAAGGGTTGCCAGCATCAAAGAATTTGGCTTATAACGTATAGCTTAAAATCAAGAAGAGTATTGTTCCACCGTGGCAACAATGCCGGGCCATTGCTTTATCTCAAGTCCTAATTGCATGCCGGAAATCTAGCAGAAGCCAGCTTTGTGACACTGCTCTATGGTTGCCGCTGCGTTTGGGAACACAACAGTTCGATATGGCATGTGTGAACATCGTGCATTTCTTGGAAGGAGAAGGCCATCTACAACATCCTCAACCTGTGTTCCGGAGAGATCGCTTTGAGGACCGGTTGGCAGCTATGAGGACTCGTAGGATGCACTCCGGGACCGCGAGACCCATGAGATCTCTAGACATTCGCCTCTAGAACTAGAGCTCTTGAATATGCCTGGATCTCAAGCTCAAGACCACTAGAGCTCTGATGAACAGACCTTGACCTCTAGACAGCACGGTCTCCGACATGAAAGTCTGGACAGATGTGGTTCTCTCGCACGATTCTCATGCAACACTGTTGGGGTCTCTTGCCGGGATAATAGACCCTTGGAGGTAAAGAGTTAAGGCCTTGTCGGCCTGTCCATCAACCACCCCTTGTGGCTTATGGTATTGAGTCACCTTTTTTTTGGGGCGGCCATTTCCTCTGTCCTTCACCCGGATCTTTTTTGCACGTTCACCGGCTTCCACCGCGGCCACCGGCCGCACCGATGCACGGGACCAGGGTGAACGTGTGGTACCCCGCGACGGAAGAGTCCAAGATCATCGCGCTGCTTCAGAAGCTGAACGAGCCTCGGGCCGTCTCGGGGTGGCGGGGTGCTCCGCCCGATCGACAAACCGGTGCGGCACCGGTCCAGACCGGCGGTGGGTTTTTCTCCTTCATATCGGAGGGAGGGTGTTGATAGGTGAAGGATAGGTGAAGGTCACAGTAAAGATGGTGCGAACGGCACCTTAAACTATTAATTACACCAACATTCACGCAAGCGGACGGATGGAATGTCATTTCCAAAACAGGGGTGAATTCCACTTTCATGCTAGCGGCTCAGAGTGTACAACAGAGTTGGATGGTAGTGAGCCCTATGGGGCTCATGGAGATGAAGAGATCGACTTGGAAGCCTCCTGGCAGATCATGGGCACCAGAGTGACCCCAGGAACTGCAGAAAGATCACCCTTCATGGTAGGGGGGTTCACACAGCTGGGAGTCGTCAGCAGAAGATAGGAAGGACGTAGGGCTTGTGGTCAGGCCCGGTAGACAGACTTCGTTGGGGCAGGAGCTGCTGCACCAGGGTTCAGACACTGCCCATGGTCATCATTATTACCACGTTTACCACGTTATTAGATGTTATTAGCGCATCACACTCATACAACAACAGATTTTGACACCATTCTTCATCCTTGCTACTGATGTGCCACCCGTGACTGGGCGAACAAACAAGGGCTTTTCCACCATTCCTCATGCGTCCGGTACGCTCGCGCTCGCGTACGCTCGCTGCTCAGGAGGGCTCTCAGCAGGGTGCCTTCCTGACCCCGGAGAAGCAGGTCGAGACTCAGAGACGACGCAACCCGAACGACATCGTCCGCGGGGGCCGGTCGTGACATGTGTCGTGCGTGTCGTGCTCCGGGCTTGAAGGGTGTCGAGGGGGTTGTTTGTCATTTTTTGTCCGTCAAGGTTTGGAGTCGATGTTGCGAGGTCAGATGTGTTTTGGATGCTTGGATGTTCTTAAGGGATGCCAGCTTTCTTGAAGTCAACAGGTTCAGAGGCGGTAAGATAGGTAAGACACGTCTAAAAGTTGTATATACTGCAGGTACTTGATGTTTTCACACGATATCACACGTACATATTTTGTTGTGACTAGCATGTTTGAGAATCATGTTTGACCAAAGGCTATAGGACGGTGCGCATTATTTGCACATGGATTAGCTTTCAAACTTGAACCCTCAAGGATTTGTGGAGAACTTGTTCGATGGATTCATGAACATCACACCTTTGAAATTGCTAGGAGCAAGGACGCTACTAGGGGCTCCTGGCCTTACTACTAGGAACAAGGACGCTACTGAACATCACCGGCGCTGCACAGCCGGACGTGGCCGGACTCGTCGCAGGTGAAGTCGGTGGCTCCGACCTACATCCGCGTGAACGACTTCACCGAGGTCCGTAGGGATGTCACCGAGGTCAGTAGGGGGAGCCCGTTGCAACACGACCCAAGTCTGAGATTGAACATAGAGTTCTGACATGTTGATTTACAAGTTCAACCAAGTGTTCACATTTTCATGCAATCCAGCATTTATTCATGCATTCATGCGTTGATGAGCACCTGCGCTTGGCAAATGTTGATATCAGAGCTAAAGTGTTGGAGTATGTTGGAGTTAACTACTCACAGATTTGCATTTTGCGCTTGGACACACTAACTGTTGTTTTTTTTCTCGGTCCGGATCGCATCGCTTCGACCATTTCCAATCGAAGAACAGTTTGGCTCTATTTCCCCATAGCATGCCCTAGCCTACAGGCATGTATATAGCACACAGACATCATGTGACACCCGTTTCGCTTCTCGTTTCGCTTCTCAGGGCTGGCAAGAAGTCATTGACACCTATGGCATTCCCAAGTACCAGGACCGGATCACACGGTCGCACTGCCGCACTGCTTACTGCTTTGCACAGCCTTAGCACTTCCGCACTGTTTGTCACGTGGGGAGAACGTTCTCGCGACAGCATGCGTTGAGCTCTTTTGCACCGCTGTTTGAGCGCACCGCGGTCGTGACTTATACGAGGGTTCAAGTGAACATTGAAGAGATGTGTGTTTACCATGTTGTGGTTCGCTAAGTTGTGTGGTGTGAGCTGAAGCTGAACTACTGAGTGACGCAGGAGGCAAATCCGGCTCTCCTCTCAGTGGTCACCTTCCCCTTCATCTTCGGCATGATGTATGGGGATGTCCCTGGCCTGTGAGGGAGGGATTTTCACGCAAGGACTGCACGGGATCTTGGGGGCTGTTGAGGACGTGGGGATATCGATGTGCGGCTGAATGTTTCGGCTCCAAGGGAACTTGGGTCTCTGAAAGCACCTCAGTGCTTGCTGCTTTCTAAAGATTTCAGAGGTCGATAGAACTCTCCAAGTGATTCATGTGTGGTGTCAATTGTTTGCTTTGGTGTTACGCTCGGTGTCTTGAGTCTTTGTTTTTCTGTGTTTGATCTCAGGAATTTATGAGGATACCAGCGCTTTGAGGTTAGTTGAGGCTGCGCAGAACAATTGTTGACTTTTCGTTATCCAGCTTCGCCTCCCTTTGAAGGTGTTCAGTGGTGGGGTTGCAGGGCAAGCAGCTAGTCTAGTTCCTATACCTTCTTGGGGGTTATGTGATTTCTCCAGTCAAAATGAATTGCTGGTGGAGCTATCGCGCCCTTGCCAGACTGACTGACTTTTCACGAAGAGGTTGCCCTCCAAACCTCAAGGACCTTACTTGCATAGGTCTTCTGAAAGAACCTGATGGGCAAGACTCAGGATCTTTCCTCAAGGGATCAGTGGAAGGGCGGGTCCTGACCTGCCATCCTCCAAACCTTCAGCTTTTTCGCTGCATGACCTGGTGTGAACCTGCCTGACCTGCGTCCCGACCCGATGATCTAGGTGGGCCACGGCACCTTGTTGTTCCTCGCGGGGCTTTGGCTGTGCAAGAACGCCGAATCCTTGCGCTTCAGCCGCCCGGCGAAGCGGCGGACACCGCCCCGTTGGGAAATCCACCTCGGAGTCCACCTCGAAGTCGGCGGCAGAGGACCAATGCTGCGGATCGAATTCAGATCAATTCTAAAACATGCGAAGCATTCGCAGCAAGCCATGGAAAAGAAGCTGGTGCACTATAGTTGTTCATGACAATCCCTGATGATCAGATACCCTAGGGATCCAAGTACCTTCTCGGCAGGTGATTGGAGACACCGCTATGTAGGTTTGGAGGGTCCAAGTACCTTCTGAGAAGGTACGACGGGATCCCTACAGGTTGTTCATGACAATCCCTGATGATCGGAGAAGGTCTCACCATAGCAACTCGCCAGATCGATAGAGAACATCGGCGCCGTGGACATCGGTTTCCTGCCCAAAGCCTCCAGAACTCGGACCTCCCTGGGGAAGAAACATGGCAGTGGGTCAAAACCTGGAGTTCCAAACCGTAGGTGGACCTCCCTAGGGAAGCTGTTCCAAACCTCGCTGGTCATGGTCCCCCCCTGTCTTGACCACCACGGAAATGACCGTCCAGCAGCCATTTCCGCCATTTCCGCCCATCCAGGTCAGCCGACACTGTTCATGGTGCGCTACATGGTGGTGAGCCTTGGTGGCTCGGCAGAGGGCGGCTGTCCCACACACACACACACACCACTCAAAACTCCTCTGGATCCAGCCGCTCTCATTCTTGCACCGCATTGCACCAGTAAGAGGAGAGTCTGGGTCGGTGGCAACGTTTAAGCCTCTTTCGTACCGTACCTCGTTTATCCATTTTTTTGGCACATAGGTTTTGCTCTTTGGAGGAACGGCAGTGGGAAACTGTTCTGAAGTGCGGTGCCATGGTCTACAAGCCTCAGCAGGAAAGAAAGGACTTTCGGCCAATGATCACCCGGACCCAGACAGAAGAATGTAGACTTTTGATTAATACCACTCCCATTTGAAGAGATTGTTCCATCCAAATTAATGAAGGAAGTTTATCAATCAAGGTCCATAATGGTGTTGACCTATGTTGGCCCCTTTAGGTATAAGAGTGTTTGGGTTAAACTCGTCGGTTAAACATTGCCCTCACCCTGCGAGTGGTGCGATTTGGACTTCCCGTGGACCAGGGAGGAGGATTCAATCAATATAGTTGCAGGAGAAGGGCACCCTTTAAAAACAAAGACACCTTTAGCAGCTCAACCTTTTTGCTCAAAGTTCTATAAGCAATGTTTAAGGAACAAGTCTTTTGCCACCAATCTCACCGGACCAACTCTCAGCTTGGTACTGTATTTGATATGACTTATCTTCACCAAGACTCTACCGGTGCTGGTCTTGGCCTTGGCCGAAGAAGAGGTTTCTTTGCCACCTATGCGGGCCTCATGTACAACGACTTCTTTTCGGTGGGTCTTCAGATCTTCGATTCCCGCTGGAAGGACGCGAAACGGAGCGTGTCACTGCAGTAGAGAACCGGTGCCGGAACGGGTTTCTTTCTGCGTGGTTGTTGGGGGACGGCATAGAATGAGGGAGGCTGAATTTTGGGCCACCTTCGCGTGAAGTCGGCTGCTCGAATAGAACTGGTGTTACCATAGGCCAGTAACTGATGGACTGAACGTGAGCGTTCAGGAGTAGTTTCCGCCCAAGCGGTTTACCCGCTTTTTGAGCAGAATGGACCAGTGGCAAGGTATCTTGAAGTCAATGAAACTGACATGCGGATCAAGCAAGAGGAACTGGCAATTTAAACCTCCATATAGATCCTATAACTGAATTGCGTAAAACCGGGGTCCCATGGAAAAGCAGCATATCCTTCCGACCGCGTTTGCCACTGTCACTTGGTCATAACACACGCAGTTACAAGCTTAGCTCTAGATACTGGAGCTTCAATGAAAGGAACATCATGCAGCAGGTTGAATACTTTGTTTTGGCATGTGCTTGATGCCAGAAATCTGGTTTTGCACTGCATCTGGGATCAAATTGGTTATCACATGTCGCCTCATACCCGGGACCGAGTCAACATAGACAACAGCACTGAAGAAAGCATGCCTTCGTTGTCACTCCCTTAGCCTTCCAAGACGATTAAAAGACAGGTTGACCTGGTGTAGTAGTGTAAATGAATGTAGATACCTTAGAGTAACAATGGTTCAGAACAGGATCCAGGCGCATAAATCCATTGTTGCGCCAGGAGGTGGGTGAAGGCATCTACGAGCCGGACTACGATGCGCCCGGGCGACAAGCGCGTGTCTTGTGCTTCGTGGGAGTTCACAGCTGTGTGGTCCATCAGGCTAGCCATTCGTCACGTGACATCCACCGTCTTCGCTTCATGCTGTCGCGCTCAGCTGGCTCAGCTGGTGGAGGATGGATCGGGAGGTTGTGAGGCGCAAAGACCCTCCCAGACAAGGCCCCACAGCTTCTTCACTTCGCATGGCCCTGGCAGGGCCGAATTCTGACTGCATGACGTTCACAGATCGGACCAATCATTCGCACCAACTTCCAACCGGTGCCTTCGGTGTGATCCATGTTTGATTGCTGTGTTCTTTTTTTGGGGGGATGGGTGAGATTCACCAGCCTCTCGCGAGCTTAAGCTCTTGCTCGCTCGTGCCCCAGCTCGCTCGGCCAAAGCTGAGGTGAAAAAACTCCGGTGGTCGTGGGCCTTACCCCTTTGGACTCGACTGGGCCTGGCATGGACCGCCAAGGGGCACTGCTCGAAATCGCGAGAGGGAGAAACAACCTGGAGCCCAAGACCGAATCCATTTGGACCTTTATTTTGATAGGACCATTTTTTTTGGGTGGTTGGTGGTCCAAAAAGGAGGTCACTCAGTCAGGTTCTATGTATAATGCATTTATATGCATTTATAGAATTTTATAGATATATAGGTGGTTCTTCAAGTCGGGTAGAGGGGCGAAGCTTCATCTCATCTCCAGCGGCCGCTTCAAGCCAAGCAACACTGACTTGAAGCCAAGCGAATCCATACCCAGTCAGTGGGTACCGGGTAGCCTTTAACCGTTTTGGGAGTGGAAGCACTCCACAAAACAAAAGCAGGTGGAAAAAGCCTGGAAAAGGGTCAACGGCTTTTTTCCACTGCAACAAGCTCCTCTACGTCAGTGGCAGTTCTGATCCTGCCAGCTGGTTGGGCCGGCAGGATCCAGTAACGAGCTCCTCTACGTGAACTCTCTGAAGATGAAGCTCTCGGTGCTCTTCGGAGTGCTCCAGCCACTGGGCGCCTCGAGGGCTCGAGAAGTTGGGTGAGAGACTGGCAGCGGCACCGGTCTAGGCGAAGCAAAAGGTGGATGAGATCATGTGGAAATGCTGGCAGGTCTGACTCAGAACATGTTGAGAACCATGAACATCTAAAAGAACTGGGCGGGTGGCAGCACGCCAGGGGTAAGCCTGCGTTTCACCAGCCAGGTGAGAAGAACCAACACAGGTCCAAGGTTTTAGGCCTACGACGTCCTTTCTCTGAGGAAATCGCAGGACTTTGAAGCCTTCAGGACTTCGAAGAAAGGAAAGTATAGGAGAGAACACCCAGCAACACTCCGTTGGTCCCTCGAACCTGGAGGTTGATGCTGAAAAAGATCCCAACCCCCCCCCCATCATCCCGCATCCAAAGACAGATTTGGGTACCTGAACCTCAAAGAATCAGCGAAAATCCCATCTGTTGATTGACTGGTTTGCACGCCCATGGCCCAGGATGACTGTGGGCTTGTTCTTGAGGCGAGGGCTGGATGGAGTGGGAGGAGTGGGAGGAGTGGGAGGAAGGGCTGCATGCGGCTGCGCATTGGAAAGCTCGGTTTTCTCCGACTTCCCAAGGGGGGGAGACGGCAAGGAGATGCACTGCAAGGGTTCTATGTTACTATGAGAATCAAGGCGTACCGTATCTACTGCACATCTACTGAGAGAATCCAACATACTGAGGACATCCAATCTGAAAGGGTGTTAATTGCATTTAAATACTATATACAGTTCTTGGGGCTTCCAAGGATTGGCAACTCTCACTACCGATCAAACCTGCATGGAGCTGCACATCTACTTACCACACCCGGGTCTACTAGATGGAGTTGTTGTGAAATGCTCTTCATGGGCACCCACTTTTTCTCCTATGGGCCTATGAATGTATCGCGATGCCTTGATCAGCTCCATATGGGCTTCATATGGGCGTGTTTGTTGATAGGGAGACATCCTTTCTCGCCCCTGGCTGGGTAGACTGGTCTGTCCGAACCTTTCGGGGTGTCTTCATATGGTACGCCTCACCCAGTGACACACCCAGATGGCTTCATGGACTTGCCCATATGGACCTCACACAGTTCCACCGGGGTAGCTGATCCCATTCTGTCCCATCTAGGTGGGGAAACGCCTTCTATGAGAAGAACATGACGGATTTCATTTGTGTGTCCTGGATTGGCGCATTTTGCATGTTTTGTCATGTGGCTTTTTCCTTTTGCTTTCTGTATTGTCTTGGTGGATTGTTGAGCCATTTTACTGATTTGTGACTGCCAACCTATCAGAGAGAATATCGCATCCCTAAACTTTGCACGTCTGCTGAGAGCGATTTCATCCATGTGACGCCTTGAGCCATCGGAGCTTTTCGTTACGAAGACCAGCATCTCTCGTCTTCAGCCGACGGCGGAACGATCCGTGCAGAAGATCCGCAGGATCCGCAGAGACTGGCCGATGTGGTCGTCCGGCCGGGGACGAGTCCGGTGAGAGACCGCCGAGCAACGGCCAACGGCGCCCTAGGAGTGCATCCCGATGATGATCTTCATGCCAGGCCCTGAGGAGAGTGCGGCTGAAGAAAGGCTGAAGGAATGGTGAGGTGTAGGGCAAAGGTGTAGCATGTTTAGCTCAGAAGCACCTATAGGAGCTAACGGCTTCCATGAGTTTGTGGCAAAGACATCTTCCAGTTTAAGAAGGCAAAGAGCAATGACCTGACAAGCCGCATTCTGGAAGATGGTGTTTCTCGCATTTACCTGTTATTTTGTGATGCTGTAGTTGTTTAGAGCTACTCTCCAGAACTTACGAGGAACTAGTTTTCCACATAAATTCATCGTTGTTTTTTTGCTGGAGCGTTTGCATGTCATTCCTTGTTAGCTCCCAACCTATGAAAATGCAGGCAACCCTGGCTTACATGGAAGTGTATCTTCTCTCCCCTCGCCTGGTCATTCTCCAGGGACCCGCAGGGATGCAGGGGAAAGTTAGCTTCCTCGTTAATGCATATAGTTGTTCAGTCTTTCTTGTTTGCTGATTGGGCTTAGCTGCCTGTGGTCTACTATTCCCGGGAATTTACATGGTCAGCAACTTCCTAGTAAATGACGTCCTGGCCCAGATTTACTTCCTCGTAAGTTCTTGGGAGCGTAATATTTTTCTATAACTATACTTGACAAACCAGAAATTCTTCAGAAACAGGCCATGGAGGAGAGGGAACAAGTATATGCTTCGTGTTCAAACCCAGTTCAGAGCCCAGTGAATCTACACCAAAAACTCCCTTTGCCAACAATTCTGGGCATTTTCCACCCTCGATTCTACGACCTCGCAAGATCTGTCTTCCTAGACCCAGGCTGTGCTTCTTTGGCTGGATGGACGTGATGATCCTCTACAAGTGACCTGCCACCAAGACCGTTACGCAGCGAGCCCGCTGACGCACCGTTTTTCGTGCGGCGTTGGTCATCCACAACAGCAGGAGACTGTTTAACACAGAGGTGTGCGGTTCATGGGGTTTATGTGGTTTGAATTGCTTTCGCTCCTTGCTGGTCATTCTTTTTTGGTTCACACTCTGGCGGTGCGGTGCGTTCTGAGCCTGTATACAACGGCGGACTTTCTTGCAACGTATGGGCCTGCGTCAGGGAAGACCTTGTTGTCTTTACATAGATGCATGACTCCATCACCCAGATATATTATTGGAGTATTGCTTTGTTACCCATGTTGCCAGGAACCAGCACCACCCTGTCAGGATGGTTGATGGAGGCCTAATTAATCCCAGAAAGGGTGATCTCTCAAACAATTCTTGGGGTAGTGCTTAGTGCCAGCGCCGGTGGTGTATCGTGTTGATATGTACTTGTTTCTTGTGGATCCGCCACAGATGAGTGACTGGTCGTATATAAATTCACATAACATTCACACCCACCGACCCTCTCCGCAACCCCCCTGGCAGAGCCCTCGGCAGGTGGGTTCATCCCATTGACAACCCTCCGAGCATCATCAACTCGCTGATTTGATGCTCAGCTGGAGGAAAGTGGATATCAGGATGGCCTTCCAAGGAAACAGCTTTCCTTTGATTTTAATTACAGCATGTTCTCCATACTTAACAATATGTGTTGTGTTTTTTCTCAGCGGTGCTGGGGGTGTCATTGTTCTCATCCACACCTATTAAGGTCAATGCCGCTATGGGCCATGTGTGACCGAATGCCGCTATTCATCCAGAACCGCCAACCCCCTCGAGGATCCGTGTCCCCCTCGAGGATCCGTGTTTTTACGCTTTTTCGCCCATTTTTCCGGAGGGCCGAGGGCAGTGTTTTCTCAGAGAGAAAGACCTACCAATGCTTCGTTCGTGACGGGTCAGGTCCCAAGGCAGCATTGGACTCCTGGAATCCCAAGGCTGAATTGACCTGGATTGACAGGGGGGGTCGATTCTTTTCGCTACACACCGTGGAAGGACCCCGTTTTCGCCACTGGTCGTGATCAGATCCCGTTGTGATTGAAAAAATGGTTCTTTCTGGGATGTGCGCCCGTAGGAGCTCAGAAACACTGGCATAGAATGTCATAAAATCAAGTCACATAAAGGACTCCTCGACCTGGTGGATAGATAGATGATAGATCTATAATCTAGAAACGGCTTGCCAATTCCACGGCTGGTGATCAGAAGGTCTGCCCAAATCGCCATGTTTCCTCGCTTTCATTTCTGAGGCATGGCGATGGGGCAACAGGATTTGTTCCCTCTTTGGGATGGTTCCGTCGAGATGGCCCAGAACCTCATGCTGCCACTCGGCGAGAACCTGGCCGCGCTCGGCCGATGGCCACGAGGAGCGATGCAAGATGCAACAGCGATCTCAAGTCCAGACACTCCATCGGACTGGAATATATATATATGTATGTATATACATATTATATATATAACTAATTACACCATACTAACCCATACTGCACATATATATAATTACATAGGGTGCAGCCCAGTAAACCAGTACCACTCCCGTAGCAGTCGGAAAAAGATTTATTGCCATTCTTGAGAAAGGCCTGCAACTGAACCATCATCATGTACTGGGCCCTGCAGAATGGGAGATACCCAATCTATACATTGGAGTGGTCAACGAAGTGTTTGGGAGGACAAGTCGAATCTAAGGCTTTTTGGCCCAGAAGTGGACTGAGGCTGTAGAGGCTTTTTAAACAGTGTAGGGTTAGCAAGAAGCGGTGAAACGCATGTTTTAAGGCCAGGCCGGGAGATGGGTTGTGCCTCAGGATGAGTGGAGAGAAACCATTCCAGTCATGAAATTCTTGCTTGGTTCCAGTGCATCAAAGCTGGTAAAACTGCGGGTGATTTCTTGGAGCATGGTGGAATCAGAAACTCTGCAGACTGGTTGGCTTTGGTTGGCTGCATGTGTTTCTAGACTTTCGTAGACCCGAGATGGGCAGATCCCATCTTCTACTACGACGTAGTCCAGGTTCAGTGCATCTATACTATTGAAGTTGGTTTCGTATCGGGTGGCTTCCTTTTTACTGTAGGTGTCGGTCAATCAACCATGACTGCTTTTGTGGTATGGCGGCCAATGTTGCTTGAAACGCAGCCCACGCAAAAAAAGAACGGCAAGCCGACATGTGTTTGTTGCGTGTGCAGAGTGTGAACCCATTGCAGGATTCTTCCAACAAAACTTGGGCCACCAAGTAGATGGACGATGGATGGAGTGGGTTCTCCAATATTTGGGTTTGATAGATATGGGCTGGTATCCTATCAACCACTGGTCTCTGGGCTGGTGTCCTATCAACCACTGGTCTCTCCTATCAACCTTTCCCGAACTCGGCCGCTCTAAGACTCCAGTCGCTTTCGATGACGAGGGGGTGGCCACAGGGCACTGAGAGTCACCGAGGTTCACCATGTGTTCAGTGCCTCTCCCAGTGGGGGGGGATTCTTTGGTCGAGTGGAAGGGGTCAGATGGGAGGAGCGGCGCAACGGAATCTGTAGAATTATCTCATTATTTGTCTCCCAAAGGCTAGGGTTTTGACCCTCATAGCTAGGGTTTTGACCCTCACAGCCAGAGTTTTGGACCGAACCAACATGTAGCAGTTTCATTGCAGTGATCTATATATATATACATATCCCATACGGTTTAGTATATTTTGATATATACATCTAGAATCTGAACACCCGTTCTGAAATAGAGTAAGATGGACAAGCATATGTAGATTCTGTGGATTCATAATTTGGTCTTGCTCACGGAGTAAGAGGTGCATGGGAGTAGGTGGCGTAGCTTCATCCAACCGGTGCCTTTGTATCCTTCGACATGAGACCCAGGCGTCTACCGTGCTCCAATCCAGTTAGAATGTCTTGCTTGGATATATAGGTGGGATAGATTTTGAGGATCCCATCTCATCTTAAGTGGATCTCATTGCCTTGCCTCCTGATGTGTTTCTTTTTCGCCCAATCAGTGGGGACTGGCCATCCTGTCCTTCCCGGTGACCGAAGCTTTTGTCGATTGAAGAACTGTCCAAAAAAAATCCCTCGAAGAGAAATGTCCCTCTCAGATGCTGCCAAGAGCTTCCAAAAAGAGCTGAACTTTTAGGATTGGCGCCATTGGTCCTCCCGGATGGATAAAGTTCTGGAAGAGACCCAGATGGAACCCGAAGACCCAGATGGAGACGCTTGTAGTCCCTTTTCAGGTTCCATGTTATTTTTCCCAGATGGGTATAGGATGGATGGAGGAGCGTGAGGGAGGACAGGTCACCATGTGGACTTCGCATCGGTGGCATGGCCCAAGGTACATGTTTGGTGACAAATCCTTGACCAAGAGGGTCTCCAAACATCCTTGAAGTTATGAAAAAACAGGATATGTCACCATGTTTGGTGACAAGTCCTTGGTCTCCAAGAGTTTCTACCAACAATTGTGGTTGAACGTGGTTCATTTGTTTACGTTGTTTAGCTAGAGGGGGCATGACCATGCTCAGGCCAAGTGCGCCCTCCAACACGACCATGCAGCAGAGAACTGCTTCATCTCCCCCTTGCTTTCGCACCCATGTGTCACCTGGAAGGCACCAGGCAGCATGCTTGGAAGGCACCAGGCATCACTGTGCGACCACGAAGCACCGGTCCCCGTTCCAGCGACCGTTCCTGCGTTCCAGGTGCCGATCATGCTTTTTCCCAAGCCCTTTATCCTGCTCTACCAGCACAACCAGACGAAGAAGGTCGAGACCAATGTGCGAGCACTGTGGCGAGTGGCGGCGTTTTTTCGTGTTGCATGCAGCAAGAAGCAGACGAATGGGACTGGAATAGTTACATGTACCCCATGAAAAGGACCCCAATGTAGGGAACTATTCTCTACCTGGATGATCTGGGAATGGTTGATCTGTTTTTGCTCTCACGGCCTGGCGTGGACGATATCTTCCATCCTGTCTCCAGGTGTGATGTTATATGATTTTGTGATTCTCACCAACTCCAAAAGCCAAAAAACATCTGGATTTTTTTCAGCATCTTTCATTTTGAGCCTTGGTGAATGTGGATTTTCCCGAATGCAGTGCTTAGTGCTTCGTGCGCCCTGCACAGGCGCGCGATGGGAATTTTGTGGCGATCGAGGAGGAGCCATCGAACAACCACCACGGGCATCTTGGCTTAGCTCAGATAGCTGCCAGGTGGTGGTGAACACTGATAAATTAAGCCAAGTACTAAGCACTAAGCTGGAGCCAGGAAGGATTGGACACCATCTTGATACAAGTGACTGACTTAGAGCTTTTGGCCAAGATCAGCACTATGACCCACTGGAGGTTCCCATAGAACCCAAACATGTATAGAATGTTTAAGAACTTCATGACATCCACGGTGCTTTGCACCTGCATTGTCTTTGAGACCAGCAGGGGCTTCCCCGGCGTTCCGGAGAGTTTCAGAGTTTCGGAAGGAGTAGTGGGTATATGTGCACGTGGGTATAGTTCTTGAAGGGCAGGGGGGGGTATGGATAGTCCCCAAAGAGATAGAAAAGTAGACCCCCACTGATCCCCACTGATGTATTTGAAACCGTGCCACTATCTATTTGGAGATCACAGTAGATACCGACTGGTGCTCCTTTGCTCACACTCCCCCCGAAGGGACCGCATGAAAGTGGACGGTAGACGGATGAGCATTTTCCTCCACAGGGCCCAGGGGATTTTGCAACGTTCCTCAACTGAGATAGGCCTTTGGTATGCATGGGTTCATTGCCTGATGAATTGGTCGCTGGTGTGAATCCTCGGAAACAGCAGAAGGACAGCCTGTGGATGCTAGCAGCCCTTTCACCACACAACTGGGGACTCTGGAACAGTGTGTGAACCACTCTGAGTGGCCGTCACTCGGTGAACGACATGTGTTTCCTACAACGAGGCTTCGAGGATGAATCGAAGAAACGCCGTCAACACCTCCCCAAACGGTTGCAGACTTGCCCTGGGTCTTAGATTCCTCAACAGTCAGAACAACATGGAGCCTTGGGTGGGCACCGGGGCTCCGTCAGCCCAACCAATACCACCGGCTCACCGCTCACTCTTCCACCCGCCATCTCGGCTCGGTAGCGAACCACCAGAGATGCTCGGCGGGAGCGCGACGGACCCCAAGAACGCAGCAGTTCCTCAGCGAACGGATCCCATGGCAGTGCTGGAGCAGGGCTGGACGCCTGGCGGTGGCGGTTCGTTTTGGAACGACCCGATCTGCGGGGCGGTGGGTGCAGGGTGGGCTGCGAGGTCTCTTGTGTGGATGTTGTTTTCTCATGGCGGTGGGCATGTTGGGATGATTCTACAGCGGTGGTTTGCAGGTTTGCTTTGACTTGGCGTGGTTTCAGGGTGTTTCTTGGAAACAGGAGTGATGTGACCTTGGGGTGGGACAGTCGAAAAATAACGTACCCGCCTTCGACTTACTAAGATGGAAGTCAAACAACAACAACAACAACAACAACAACAACAACAGCAGCAACAAACCGACTTAAGATAGAAGGTCATCGTGTTCCAAAGGGCCATTGCCCGCTTTCATGTTGAGTCGGAGTGTATGTGTTGGCATCAACGACCGGTCCGAATCGCCCTTCGAGTACCTGCTGTGCCAGCAACGTGTTGGGAAGTCCTTTTGTTTCGCCCCAGGTGCATGGAATCTACATAAATCTACCAAATAATAGGCAAGATCTTGTGAGAACCTCTTTGTTTCACTCAGATTACCACTTCCAACACGTGCCATCCCCGCAGCGTGCCGCCCGTCACGTGCCATCACGTGCCTCCAGCAGTGCCAACCGCTCTGAAGGAGCGGTGACTCTTAGGAACTCCTCGAAGCTTAGCTCCAAAGCATCTTCCAGGAGACGTCACCGAGCGCTTCATGAGACTCGGGGTGAGCGCCGCGTGGATCTTCGGAAGAAGTTGGCACCGGAGTTCGTGCCACTGTGTAATGACAAGATGGTGGCACAGGGTGACATGAGTTTCCACATATGTTCATTACATGTCCATGTTCCAAGTACCTATGCTTTCGCGGCCGGACCACCTCTGTTTTTGAAGATCGATGAATCATCACCAGGACCGGCCGCACCCATGGTTTTTTGAAGATCGATGAATCAAGTGCCAAAACTGGCCAAATCAAATGGGACAGTTTTCAAACCAGTGGCAGCCCTCACGAAAGCCTGTGGCGGCCCTAGACTGCCTTCACTGCCATATCTTGCCACTTTCCAGGCAAGTGGGACTGGAGTAACGTATGCACTTATATATACCTAGAACCTGAATGACCTCTATTTTGGACCACCAACCACTCAAGATATGGCCTTTTCCTATCAAAACAGAGGTCAGTTGGGTTCCAGGTATATATATATATATCCCAGACACGACCCATGGGACTGCCAGTCCGGACTGCCGATCAGGCCAGGGGTGGTTGACTGGGGGTCTTTCTGGGGCGGCAGTCCTATGGCAGTCCCATGGAGTGTCTGGGATATATATATAATTGCTGACCCGCACCGGGTGGTTGAAAAAGGGGTCAATGGCGAAGGCAAGAGTTCACTCCGCCCAGCCCCAACTTAGGTCTTCAACAGATGGTTCTTAAAGACGGGTGTTCATCGATCATTTCCTGGGATCTACCAGCTGCCACGTGGTTGCCACAGAGTATTTTGGAAGAAGGTGAGCTTTGCAGCCCTCCACGTCTTCCAAGAGCATGTTCACATGCAATTAGTTGGTCTATAGGTGTATATGTCATCCATTTTGGTCAACTCATGGCGGTAGATGCCAAATGCCAACGAGACGAGATCCGCAGGCAGTGGCTGAAACCACCAGGGTTTGACCCAAGGAATGACTGGACCAGTGTCACGTTTTTCCCAGTCCTCAACTGCAAAGAAAGAAGATTGTTGGGTGGCTGTATCAGTTCTCCATAGTTCTCCTGTGCCCACTTCAAAGTGATCTTTCAATACGTTTAGAAAGTCTTTGTAGAAGTGACATTCCAAGAACCCACATTTAAAATCGTCACTTCTTGGGGAAAAAAAAAACACCAAACCACAACTCCACCATGCTTTCCAGTCACTGGATGGGACTGCGGCGAGCGCAGGATCTTGGGGAAAGTCCTGGCCGAGCTCAACGCCTCCCCCCAACACCCTGGCGCAACGCGAGACCTTCCCGGACCGGTGCACGTTTCGTGAAGGACTCTGGACATCTCTGGAGCTCGGTACAGAAGCCCTCCCCAGTTGGATTGAAGAACCTCCTTTGTATAGGGTGCTTATCCATCAAGAGTCGACATTAGTGGGTGGACTCCTTTTCAGTTCGGATGGTGAGGATGAGGATGAGGCGAACGCGGAAGGGTTTTCGGAGGTGCCAGTTATAACTAGATCAGATGGCTTTGATGATGGCCAATGATAGGGCTGCAACATGTCCAGAATTGATAATATATGATAATGTCCATATCCAAAATATAAATGTACGTATGTAACAATGTACCGGTGGTAATAAAATGGGCAGGTTTCAAGAAATGTGTTTCTACCTATTGCTCAGGAGGGGGCACTTTGGAGCGGGGGGGGCCTCCATCTTCCCCATTTCGACTTCATCGGTACAGGTCTTCTGACGTACATGTATATATATATATATTATACATATACGCACAAGATGCAATGGACCTTGCAAAAGCTATTGCCCTACAACCGGTTTTCAGGTTCCATGTGAATCTTCCAGGGAAGCTACGCTTGATTCAAATTGGACACCTGTGGAAAACACCCTAATACAGTACTTGTAGGTGATGAAGCATTTGTTGGAGGTGATGAACCGCCACCAAGTGTGGATGAAGGGCTTCGCAGCTGTGTGAGCCGTTATTCAGCTAGGCGGCGCCGTCAAGAACAGGAAACCCAAATCCAACCGTCCACACTTCTGAAGCTGCCGGTCTCATGGAGATGGGTCGCTCCTTCCGATGGGAGCCGCTCCTGGTCCGATACGCCAAGTAGGTCAATGAGTCGGTCGGTCGCGCCGCCCTGGAAGCAGGGGTGATGCAGAGGTCAGACGACCAGGATGCCAGGCATGGTTGATAGAACCATCTAAAATCAGCCATCCTGGCCGCCCTGGTACGTGGTGAAGGCCAATTCAGCCATTGACCATGACCATTCTAAAAGCGCTGCAGGGCGCTTTCCGACGCTCCGTTTGGTGCCGACTGCTGCGAGGACTTCAGCGATGAGTGGGAGCCCATGAACGATGATGAGGAGCTCCCAGTGACCTGGTAGTCGACAAGTCTAGACATGGATGCCAAGTGGGTCGCTTGACGCCACCCAAGATTCCCAAAGATCACGCCAACATACGCCACCCAACCTTAAAATAGTTATGTACCAGCACCCTCCAACAGGTGGTTTTTGGACACGTCCTTTACCTCCAAGAGGTTATTTATAGGCCCATAGGCACCTCTTGGATGTATATATATATATATATATACTAGACCAACCACACCAAATAACCCACCGAGAGAGACCCTTTTTGGTTGCACATTGGATGTCCATCAAGTCTCCATAAATATAGTATAAAAATATATTATAATGTTATCCTCAGGGCCACTGATTTATTAGATGAACCGATTAGACATATAGATTGGGTCTGTCCTATTACTTGTATCAGTCAGCAAACAGTTCTCATCATAATTCTAACAAGGCCTTTACTAAGTTTACCAACCATCATCATCCACTGGGCCCAGGTCATAGACAATTGGTGGCTCCCTGGTTCCAATGGTCCAAGTGCTTTCGATGGTTAACGATGCTGACCGATGGAGTTTGGATAGCTGATGGTTCGTGCACCTGTGCGTGGTGCACCTGTGCAACGATGCCGGGCCAGGAAAGACTATGACACCTCCATACACTTTGCCTTTGGAACATTTACTGTAGCAGTAGTTCATCAAGAACCTGGTTCTTCAAAGTGACCTTTTAATAACCTGGTTTGAGGTCACTTAAGCCTCCTAAGGGTCACTTGGGAACCTTCAAAAGGTCACTTTGAAGAAGCTGGAATGTTATTTTTAGAGGTCCGCTGTCGCGTAGGTCCCGACTGCCCTGCACATCCCCACCCGTGGAATTGGAAGGGGGATCGGGGATGATGGAACGCTGACTATGGGAGGGAAGAGTCCGGGCTTCTGTGCGTCCAACCTCCAGAGAATCTGTGCAATTGACCATGTCTTGATCATTCTCATCCACGCGATGGATCCGCCTGGATCATGATAAAAATGCATCAGCCTTCTTTACATTCTGTTGGATTTTGGGGAACTTCCGCAGCTTCTCCACTCTCCGCCCGGCTGGCCGCTCCTGCGCCTCGAAGACGCGGCTGCCGTCCTAGGCCTGGGCGACGGAGGTGGTGGATCGCACATCCGAGGGCTTCTTCAAAGACGGCGTGTGCCTTGAGACAGCGACCGACCGTCGACGTCGACAGCGGGGTGCGGTTTCGCCACTCCGAAGTCTGGAGAGAGAGAGAGAGAGAGAGAGAAGATGAGAGAAGAGAGAGAAGATGAGAGAGAAGAGAGCGAGCAAGGTTTGGGGGGGAGGTTAGGGTGGTGAGTGTTTTTGTTCGTTTTTGGTGGGGCGCCGATCGGGATACAGGAATGCACGTGGAAAGTTGGCCAGACTATCGAGGAGAGGGATGAGATTGCACACATGAAGATGAGACAAACATGCCTAGGGCTCCAAGTACCTCCTCAGAAGGTATCTAAACCCTCTGAACCCACCCCAGTCCCACCTTCTGAGGACTTACGACTGCCCTAGGGATGAAGACCAAGGATGATCAAAGATCTGTGAAAGCCGATGCGTCGGGACGGGGTGGCAAAGTGCTTTTGTCTTCTACCTGGATTCAGGTGGCAAAGTGCCACGACGATGGCGCGTGAGAAGGAGGAGCACCAACGAGGCAGTTTCGCCGGAAGCGGACAGATTGGCCAACAAAGAGCCTCTCCAAGCATATTTACTCTCCCTGGAACTAACATGGAAGTGGAAAACCACCTGTTTGTAGTGGAAAATGGTCTTCCAAGGGGCCATTCTCCACTTCCGTGTTAGTTCCAGGGAGTGTATTCCTCAGGTTTTGCGGAAGCAGAAATGGCCGCATGTGTGGGTAGTCACCGGTCCACTCTTATGGTGCGATGACCGGTAAGAATACACCAAGCCCATCATTTGCACAGACAAATACGAACCCAACAGTGTGACGAATTGGTCCCCAGTCCAACCTGCAAATGGGTTTGTTGAGGTCTTGGCGTCCAGCACTTCACGATTCACACCGGATGTTTCTACGTCTCAGAGTCGCGGAATCTCCGTGAAAGAAGCGTGTTCACAACTTTTGACAGGGATATAGGTGGTTCAAAACCTACAGAATCACCCTGTTTCACTTCTTCCGAAACGGACGGGGCTGTCCACCTAAAACGGACGAGGTGTGTTCGACGACTCGGCGTGAAGAGAAGCGCAGGCAGAGAGAAGGTGACATGGAAGAAGAACCGTCCAGGGCACCACGCACGCTACCAGCAACGCCGACAACAGCGGGAGAGCGAGCCGCTGAGACAACAGCGGGGTATCGTGGGATCGTCAAGGGGATCGGGGGCATCGGGGACCACTCGCGTGGAACCACTCTGTCAATCTCCATGAGACTACGAGCCATTGGAACGGAACACGCACGTACGCCCATATGATCCCATATGAGATGGTCAATTCTGCATGTAGCCATGTTGCGTCGCCATAAACCGTAAGAAATCCTTTTAAGTACCTATACCAGGGTGTGAATTGGTGGTGTATGGGGTGTCCAGAAAAACCCACCCCTTAGGGTCCAAACAACACCCCAAACGGGTCGATCTTGGTAGTAGCCACTTTGGATCAGATGACTCACTTGGCCAAGACCTCCTTCGGTCGCTGGATGGAGGTTCAGATGAACTCTATAGGGGCGCATGATTTGAGGAAGAACTCTTGGTTTTGGCATCTGCATGGTGTTCCAATGGAATCACAGGGATCGTATACCACCAGTGGCAAGTTCGGAGCATTGGTCTGACCTCTTCCCTTCCTGTAACCAAAGGGACCTGGGTCCGTTGCCCGGTAACGCAGATCTGAGGATGAAGCTCAGCAAGACACGTGAGCCACTGGCCGCCGGCATGGTGAAACCCAGCGTGGAGACCGGGCGGAACGTCGCGAGAGAGGTCGTGGAGACTGGGCCCGTCGTTTGGGGTAATGCGCATGGAAAAGGAACGAAAAGGAGCATCAGAAATACGGCGACTTTCTTACAAAGTCCAGCAGTTAGTCGTTAGTTAGGGGTGGCTTTTGGAGTGAGTGGATCATGGACACCCCAACTTGCTCATTCCGACATGGAAGATTGACCGTTAACGCCCATGAAGTTGTGGAGGGAACCTGAACATGGTCCATGCCACCAGCTAAAGAGAGGGCAAATGAAAAGGAGCACCCAACAAGTCAATATATATATATATATATATTCAATAAAGAACTCAGACGAACACATCACATGGAAGTGGATAGCATGGTCCCTTGAAAGACTAGTTTGCTTTACAAACAGGATTTGTCCACTTCCATGTTAGTTCCAGAGGGAGTAAGTGGTTTTGTTGATGGTCATTTTGGGTGTTGATCCCCCTGCCAAAAGCTTCTGAAGGCTTACTTTGGTTGCTTACCCCGAACACCTGCCACTCGCGGTTGGAAAAGAACGAGGACTTCCATGTCCTTCAGGAACTGGATGAGCCTCCGCTTCCTTGATCAGAGGGTACTGCAAGCACTGCTTTCTATAATGGAGAAATCAGCACACACCTACACTTCGAACAGGTGCCCTATTTGGAGACCTGTAAGTAGTGTAGGGTAGTCTATTGGACACCCATTGGATGACCCTGGTATACACATGACGCACCAGAGTGTATTTTAATCTCCCCTCGTCGGGGAGATTGATCAACATTCAAGTCCCAAATTGGGAGGCAGACAACCCAACAAGTCAATAAATCCTAAGACTGCTAAGAGAAGAAGAGCCAAACTGCTTCTCATGATGTGTTGCAAATCATCATCACGACAACCAACCTCATCAGGGTTTTTGTGAGATACATGATGCATCATGATATTTCTATTTCAGTCATACTGCTAAACATGACCAGTTGCAAACAGCTGCTGTAAGTGCCCGCCGTTCTGACAAACGCCCGGCCAAACATCACCCCTTTGGAACTCGACACTTGATATGTGGCACATAAAGTAGTGAAGTGGCACCAAATGTATTGGTATACTATCGCAATATGAAAACAACAAACCAGATAACATAAGTCTATACATATATATACATATATATACCAGGACCCTTCTGTCGGAACTACCCCACACTACCAGCCGTTCGGCTTCCAGACAGGGCACCCCGACAGGAGGGTCCTGGTATATGTCTCTTCGTTGCGCTTCTGTCGTCCATCCCGCGAGCCGCGAGCGTCCAAGGACGTGACCCTCACCCACCAGTGAGAGCCCAGCCGCTGTGATGGCCTCCGCCGGCCCGAGCCAAAGAGCGTGAAATCCTGGAAGTGTCCGCGTTCAGATCAAATCCTTTCGTTGTCTTAATGTGTGTGTTTATTTCAAGACTTTATCTGGAGACAGATCAATCCCCCTCAACAGTTGGAAGTTTCCCCCCTGAACAATTGGAAGTTCCCCCGTCAACAGTTGGTTTCAGCTCAACAGTCGGGTCTCACCATGTCACAGAGGGGGTGTTCGGACATGACTCAGACGGGAAGGTGTGCACGCGACTGACGACGACCGATGGAACTGATGTGATGCACGATGTTGGCGGCGAGTTTGTGAGATGTCACCGGAAGATCATCGAACATCAACTCGACAGAGGTTGGACACATGTCGTAATGCTGCATTATTTGGTTGTAAGCGTCTCAAGTCAGGCGGAGGAGAGGACGGGGCCAAGCCGATTTGGAAGAACCAGACCAGATACATCCATAGAAAGACCCCCACGTGACCCCGCACACTGCAAGCCCACCAAGAAGAACAACGACCCATTCAAAATTCCTTTCAAAGAAACCCACATACCATCACACCCTTTGGACCCTTTGTTCCCTCAAAAGCTGTGACACAAAATTGTGATCTTTTTTGTAGGCTTGGATGCTCCCAGCACATGCCTCTGAAGGTATGAGGATCCCTAGGGCCCTAGGGGTTGACTTCTTGCAGATGAAGAATGGGGGACCGGGCGGGAGACCCGGTGAAAGCCGGGCTGCCCAGCTCACAGTCCAAGCGCACTCCGTGGAGATTTCCCCCCACAGTCAGCGCTAGTCGAAGATCCACAGCTGAAAGCAACAGATCAGAACCACATCCATGAACATCTGTTGCTTTGCGCCATCGATCGGCCTGGCCTGTTGTCTATTTCTTTTTGGGATTGATGATTGAAGTTTCTTGAGCTCCATTCCAACAAAGAAGCCACCTGTTTCCGCTGTTCTTCAACGGCGCCTCCGCAGCTGGTCAACCTCGGCCACGTGGCCCCGAACCTCGCCATCCAACGCGGCGCGGATGAGATCTCGGACCCTTTCAGAACCTTTCAGACTCAGACCATTTCGGCCTCTCCAGTCGGCCGAATCTCTTCCCTCACGCTGCCTTCAGTAAACCGAACCCTGGTGACTCGGCGAACCCCGGTCCGGGTCCAGTTTACGGGTTGCTGAAAGGTGACGGAGAGACAACCCCTTTGGAGAGGCCGAAATAGAGTCGAGCCTGCAAGATCTTCCGCCGGCCCGAAATTGCAAGCCTCAAGGCCGACCTGTAGCTAGCAATGTGCAACCCGCATGACTTCGTGACAAACAAAGCATGGGACTGGCATAGTGGGCCACCAGTTCGGGTGGGTGAAAGGGGGTGAAGTGTGGGAGATATATGTTCCATACATGGATATGGATATGCAAGTGGATATGCATTAATTACCCATCATTACCCCTTGATTTGCGGGGTGCCTCGCACGCCTTTTCCTGAACGCCGCCAGAAAATGCGACTGCCACTGGCGAAGCCCGGCCCAGCACCCTTCGCTGCTTGCGCGGCGCGTCCCCGCGGACACGCCAAAAAATGGGCTCCACATGGAGCCAACTGAGTGGTGGAGGTGAAAACATGGGACCACGTGCACATTGTTTTAATTCAACATTTTTTATATAATACACTGCAAAATTCCGATTTCATCCGATATCCATAAGCTGCTGGTTTCTGCTTGTCCTTCGGCTTTGAACCAGTGGGCGGTCGCGATTGTGCAGTCAGCGGCACTTCAGTGGGCGTTGCGCCAACGCCATGCGGTGTGTACCGTATTTCTCGGCCTTGAGCTGCGACATGGTGCTGCAGTGCCAAGTTGGCGTTTCTTTTGAATGGCCCTTGTTTGGGGGCGTCAGTGACGGTCAGTGTAGTTCATCAAACAAGGAGCTCCAAGTGTTGTGACATGTTCAGATACAATTCCCACACTCATTAATTCACAATAATAATATAGTTTAAGGAGTATTAAGGAGTAATTACAGCGTGGCAAGCAAAGGAATCTCTCCTGGAGTGCTGCGTTCACGTTTGCAAGCTTGGTTTCTTACAGCAACTTATCAAAGTTGAATCAAACTTTCTTGCTTGCCAGGGTAAAGATTACTCGATGATACAATCGCAATCACTTCTTCTTACAGCTGATTTGTGTTTGTGTTTGTGTTGAGACCCGCAAGCATTGAGGGCTTCAAAACCAAATCTGAACCAAAACCGTCGTCGCTCGAATCCCTCCCAGCCGAAACGCGTCCGAAAGGATCCCCACGGTCCGCCCGGTGTGGGGATCCTCGTCCTCCTCGTCCCTACCGAAAGACTCCTCCGGGGATCGTGTTTTCGTCCGTTTTCGACCTGGTTTCGACTATCCGAGACTGGAGACGGCGGATGGAGAATCACTGGCCACAATCAACCAAAGGTTGTGTACACATGGACTCTACAAGACGGACATGTTTGGTTGATCTCATCTACCTCAGCTACCGTCTACGACGTACGTAGTGCCGACCAAATCAGACCTCCCAGCACATGTTGCGCAGTGTGTTGCGCCCCAAAACGCTGTCGCTTTGAGATTTTTCCTGGCATTGCCACCGGTACCCGGACAGATGGCACCGCACGAACTTCATCCTGGACAGACCAACTTTGCCTGTCCGGGACATTTCAGTGCGAGCGGGAGGTGAGTCGAAACCCCCGACCTTTTGAAAACAGGAGAGGTGGGGAACTGAGCCAATCATGGCACAAAGCTGTCATATATGTTTTATAATGTTCTAAATGTTTTACCCTTTTGCGTATGGCAAGTGTTTCACATATTGTGTCGTATTGCATTGTTTTGCATTACTACATGTCATATATTTCACCATATGTTCACGCATGTGTTTTGCTTTACCCTGTATGTTTACATTTACATTACACTTGATTTGTTTACATGTCAATGCCCTCAGACGCTGAACTAAGCAGCGATTTCTACAGTTTGAATTTTCATGTCTTGACGTCCCTAGAGTTTTTGCACCGCAGGGTACCCTTGAAGCTCGAGTGAAAACAAGTTTGGCATCGGAGCCTTTACGGTTACGATCCAGGCGCCCTCGCCGCCATAGGCTGCCTGCCTCTCTTTCGAGAGGCGCCTGACCCGACATCAGGCTTGGCTTCGACCACGACTCCGTTCTGGTCCTTCCTCCTGTGTGCTACGCTCTCGGCGGCTTCAGTCGAGGTAAGCCGTGGCATTGGCCCTGAGCAGGCCACCAGCTGTTTCACTGAATTCAACGGCTACCAGGTGGACTTGTTGGAGCACCCTCTGATCATCTTCCACCACGCGATTCGGGACTCTGAGAACCCGCGCTCCTACCACCTGGCAGCGACCTTGGACGTCAAGAGTGCAAAGGTGACTGACGTCGCCTTCCTTTGGGCCCTTTGCTCGACCTACATCGCGATGGCCAATGCGACGATGTCCACGTCCGTCGGAGGCATCCCTTTGACAGAGTTCCGGAAAGACACGCCACCTGGTTGGGCTCCCAACCTTCCGGACTACCCGCTGTCCAGCTATCTACAGAAGCTGAAGTTGTGGTACCGGATCTATGACGGCCCGGACGAATCTGTTGGACCATTGGTTGCAGGCCGACTTCAAGGCCAAGCGGCCAAACTGGCCTTGAACTTGAGGCTGATTCGACCAGACGGCAACTACGATGTTGGAGATGAAGCTCTTGTTCGGTTGTCAGTGGATCAGGTCCTCGACCCCATGGACCCTACAGGACAGACAATTCTCCAACATGCAATACCTTCTGGCGTGCAAGCCCTGGCCTTCCAGTTGCGAGAAGCATTCGGCCTGAGTGAACAGGAACTCACAACCTCTGCTCTCAACGCCTTCTTCGAGTTCCGCCGAGGCAAGTTGAGCCTCCAGGAGTATGCCTCAGAATGGGAGCTTCTCTATGAGGAAGCTCAGACCAAAGCTGGCCTTGAAGTGAACCAGGTTGCCAAGACCTACCTCTTCTTCAGAGGATCTGGATTGCCCAACAAGTTCATTGAAGATGTGAAACTCCAGATCCATGGTGACCTTTCCAGGTTTCAAGAGGCCAAGAGACTTGCTTTGCGTCTGAGTCAACGAGGTGAAGGCACACAGCTCTCCAACGACCTCTACATGGAGAACTCCAGCCAGGACTATGGAGAAGAGTGGCATGACTCCTGGCAAGCAGATGACTGGTCTACCTGGTATGCTGATGATTGGCACACCGATGACTGGTGGAACTACTATGATGACGCTGAGTATGAGGAGTACCAGATGGACCATGAATCTTGGACACCTACAGGTCGTACTCCATCTTCAGAATGGCACACTCCACCAGAAGAGCACTACATCGGTGATCTGGATGAGCAACCACCAGCATCCTCGACAGACCAGCCCACTGAGGACTCCTACTACGGCAAGGGGAACTACGGAGGATGCCATGTGTGCGGATCCAAGTGGCACATGGCCGCTCAGTGTCCTGTGAAGACGGGCAGCACGCCCTATGGTGAGAGAAAAGGCAAAGGCAAGTCAAAGAGCAAGAAAGGTCCATGGAGACCTAAAGGAAAAGGCAAAGGCAAGGGCTATGGCAAAGGCAAGAAAGGCAAGAGCTTCCGTGACGGCAAGGGCAAGTACTATGAGGACCATGTCTACTACAGGCAACAGCCCGGCAAGGGTCTTCGGTTCGACTTCTCTTCGCCTACACGGACTACCACCATAGAGCAGTTGAAAGTGACTCCTCCTGACCACAAGGAGATCTTGCCCTGGCGTCGACCTCAGTCCGCAGAAGAGACAGGTTCTGAACAGCAGTCCAGCGACGCCACTCAAGAAGTGCCCCCTTTGCCCTCGTATTCTGCTTCTGCCAAGACATTGTCCTTTGCCACCTACGTCAACAACACCACCATGCAGGAGAACCATGCATGCTATCATGCCGTACGAGGCAAGACCAGACGAGGGTTGTTGATCGACCCCGGTGCGGCAGCTGGCCTGATCGGCTCAGAGACGCTCAGAGATCTCCTGACCTCGTGCTATCCTGAACTTCGAGATGATCAACTTCAGTGGATGGACTCAACAGCGACCATCACTGGCATCAGCGGCTGTCCCGACAAGGCCCTCGGTCGGATTGAGTTGAAGCTTCCCTTCAAAGGCATGGACGCTGTCTACACCGCCGATGTGATTGGCAATGAGGGATCTTTGTGTCCTGCTTTGGTTGGAAATCCAGCTTTGTGTGAAATGAAGGCATCACTACATTCCTGCTGGTTTGAGAATCAAGATGGACTGTTGGTGACCTGGGATTCACGCTGCAAGGACAAGCCCAAGATGTACATGTTTCGAGTTCTGCTGACAGATTCTGGTCACTACCTCCTTCCGTTGGATGAGGACACCAGCATCCCAGATGGCAACACCAGTCAGCAGACATTCCATTTCCTTCGGCATCTGTCAGAAGAATCCCATCGACACTGGCCTGACCATGCATACACTTTCTGGCAACAGGCTACAGGCACCACCATCCCAGAGCAGCAGCGGAGTACCCGCGAGAGTGTGGCTGACTACGTTTCCACCCTCGTGGCAACCTCAACCAAAGCAGACAAGGACCAAGACAGATCGACCTCATGCTCCACAACCGCTGAAGCAGACAAGAACTACAGCAGATCGACCTCATGCTCCACGACCGTTGAAGCAAGCAAGGACCACGACAGGCATACCTCATGTTCTTCAACCGTTGATGCATCCAAGAACCACTCCACAATGACTTCATGCTCTGCAACACCTGAGGAGACAGAGGCTGAGGAGACATGCAAGAAGCCAAGATCCAAGACAGTGACCTTCCAGAATGATGCATTGCCAGATGAAGTTGATCCTCCACCGGAACCACTGGAAGACAACCTCATGTACCACCTCCAAGATCTTCCGCTATATCAAGGTGATCAACTCCCAGAAGGATTGAATGATGAAGAACGGAAGAAGCTCATCAAGGACTACAAGGCAATGCCAGAAGAGTTCTACACAAGGACGAACAGACGAATGGTCACTCCCTCTTCATTTCCAACCTGGTTTGCAGCAGCAAAGAAGCGAAAGACAAAGTGGCATGTTTGGGAATGGTGCTCTGGCTCAGGTCGATTGAGCCTCACTTGCTGCCTGGCATCCCTTGTGATTGGCTTCCCGGTTGACTACCGCTACGGCTGGGATTTGGGAAATCCATCACACCAGGCCATGCTTCGTGACGCCCTATACACCTTTGAGCCCGAGATCCTGATTGCCACTCCCAGATGCAAGTTCTGGAGCGTTTCATCTTCACGAAGAAATCGCACTGACCTTCTCAGGGATCGTGAATCTGAACGGCCGACCTTGACCTTCATCCAAGAGTCTTTCGGTTACCAGGTTCAGCAGAAGAAGTCCTACCTGATGGAGCAACCATGGAGTTCATCCATGTGGACTGAAAGCTTGATGGTGCGCAACAAGGACTTTCCACAGTGGCAACGACCTCGGCGCACTGACCAATGTGCATTTGGTGCAGTTGATGAGAAGAGGATTCCGGTTCTGAAAGCCACTGGACTGGAAGCGTATGGCTTCAAGCTGAAGATGTCTCTCAGGAGATGCAATGGCCACCAAGGCACTCCACATGCCTCTCTTCAAGGCCAATATATGGGCGTGAACCGCACTGCTATGGCTGCGGTATATCCTGTGCGATTCTGCCAAGCTCTACTTCAAGACTTCCTGAGACACCTTCAACCAAAAGGCCTTCTTCGAGCACGACACCACGATGCTTGGATGACCCAGCACACCCAGTTTCCACGCCTTGGAATGATTTCCAACGAGCTGCTCATGGTCACAAAGGGCTGTCCACCGTTCAGCTGACCGTGCCAGTCAACTACAAGCTGGCAAATGAAGAGACGGTGCTCATCAAGCATCTACTCTGCATGATTGTGGAGATGAGCATGAACGTGTTTGAAGAAGCCAATGGAACTGAATTCCATCATTGGATTCGAGATCCCATCCTACTGTCGAACAGCAGATCCTGCTTGAAAAGCTTCCTCTACGTGCTCGGAATCCACGTGGCTCTTCACCCATTCAGCAAAGCGTTTCCAGAGCCGGAGCTTTCGGCCGAGGCCGCGCCCTTGAGATTGTGCTTTCGAGGTGAGTACCGAAAGTGGCGACTACATCCTCTCGAGGATCTCCGAGAACTTTCACCGATGCAGCAACGTGAGGAGATCACCGAAGAGAATTGGATGCCCTAAAGACCCTCTAAGACAAAAAACTAACTTATCTCTAAATCTTGTGAATCTAACTAATTCGTCAAATTCGTTTTGTCTAAGACAACAAAATTTTTGTCTAAGTCAATTTTTTTTGGTTGTCTAAGGCTTGTTTTTTCACATGCAAAAAAAATTGACTTAGACAAAATTTTTTTTAACTTAGACAAAAAATAGTCTAAGTTAATTTGAAACTTCCTCGCAAAACTGCCTCCAAACTTCCTCGCCCGTCTTTTCCTGCTATATGAGGGCCCGACAGCAGCTATATGCTACTACTACTACTACTACTTCTACTACTACTACTTCTCTACAAAAGGTGCGGAAAAGCCACAAGGAAGTTCAAAGGAAGATTGCCAAAAAAGCAAAGGAAGTTCAAAGGAAGTTTAAAGGAAGTTCAAAGGAATTTTGGCAATGAGCAGAGGAAGTTCAAAGGCAGTTTGCCCATGAGGCAGAGGAAGTTTCAAGGAAACTTCCTTGAAACTCCCTCGTCTGCCGAGGAGCTTTCTGCTGTCTAAGACAAAAAATTTGTCTAATTTGTAAAGATAAAGTTGTCTTAGACAACGGGGAGTTAAAAAAAAATGTCTAAGTTAAAAAACAAAAATCTAACTAATAGTTAGATTTTTGTTTTTTAACTATTAGTTAAGTTTTTGTCTTAGCGGGTCTTTAGGGTGATCAGCTTTTTCGGCACCGCTGATCCACCTCAGAAGAGCAAGGCACCTTCCACTCCTGCTCCTGTGACACCAGCTCCAAAGATGTCAGTGCCGATGACTCCAATGCCGGGGACACCTGCGCCCGGCACGCCTATGCCCTCAGCAAGCGCTACTGCACCAGAACCTCATGATCCACAAGAACAGGCTGATCCGGCTGGAGGAGAGTCGGAGATGCCATCAGCACCATATGAGGGCATCGATCCACACATGCCTCAGATTCGCACTATGAAGCCTCTTTACAGTCTGAAACGAGTTCTCCAGAAACTGCCAGAGGCCGTGAAGAAAGAACCTGCCACTGCTCGACGCCCTCTACTTGGTCTACATGAGAAGTTGTGGCATGCGACAGCTCGAGATTTTGCAAGTCTTCTCATGCGAGCCGGAATGCCACCAGAAGTCATTGAGATGGCATCACAAGCAGTTGCAGCATGCAGCATATGCCGCAAGTACTCCCGACTTCCTTCACGACCAAGAACCAAGGTGAGTCTGGCAGCTTGTTTTGGAGATGAAGTTGAACTCGACTTGTTCTTCCTGTGGGGAAAGACTTTCTTGATCATGGTTGATGTCGCAACTCGCTATAAGGTGGCCTTCATGATCCAGTCCAAGAGCGCCCAGGACATCCTGCAGGGCATGATCACACACTGGATTCGTTTCTTTGGCCCCATGCGAGTCCTCACTGGAGATCAAGAGACTGCCATCATGACAACGCAGTCGGGCATCGAGTTTGAACGACTTGGCATCACAAGAAATCCAAAAGGCACAACCAGCGGTCCCGCATCAGCTCAGCACACCGGAACTGGCCTCATTGAGAGACACACCAGTTTGGTCAAACTGACCATGCAGAAGATGAAAGCAGAGATGGATCGACAAGGCCTTCTTTGTGAAGACAACGATGTTGCAATGGAAGCGGCCATGTCCCACAACCTCTGCTTGACCTATGGAGGATACACTCCAGCAATGGCCGTGTTTGGTGTGCTTCCTCGAGCGATGTTTGAGTTTGAGGCTGAGACTTTGACTGCAGTGAATGGTTCAACGGACCGAGACGTGTCCATCTTTGAGTCAGCTTTGAGATTGCGATCCATCGCCATGGCTGCCATCCAACAGTCCATTGCAGAAGACAGGATCGCAAGGGCTACACGTTCCCGGCCTCAGAAATTGGACACTGCAGAACTCACGGCTGGCACATCTCAGCTCGAGATCCATCGAGATGGCAACTGGCGAGGACCAGCTACTTTGTTGGAAGTGAATGAAGATGAAGGCACCGCCGTCGTCAAGTACCAAGGAAGACCATATCTGATGCCACTGCGATTTGTCCGGCCATTTCAAGGCATCTACTTCAACATGGACACCAACCACGAAGAGATCTATCAAGTGATGAAGATGGTTGAAGAAAGCCAACAGTACAAGCAGTACTTCCTCGGCTACAAGATGATCCTTGAAAGTCATGGCCACATTATGCGATTGACTCCAGCACAACCTCGAGAAGAGCAGCAGAAGATCATTGATTCTTTCTCAAAATGGTCTCACTGGCTTCATCATCCAGTGCATGGCCTACTTTATGGACAGGCTCTACACACCCTTCAGCCACCTCCTGGAACAAGAGGAACTATTTTGATTTGGCTAAAGAACACCACTGACTACGTCAAAGTTCAGAAAGAGGATGACAGGCACATGCGACTGAAGAAGGAATACCATGTCCATTGGGACTCAATGTGCACGCTGTACTTCCTCTACTACCCGATTGTGACACAAGAGCCTCCACCTGTGAGTCAACCAGCATCGACAAGCAGTGCACAGCCTTCTGCCATCCAAGGTGACACACCACCAGAGGAGATGGAAGTTGAATCTACTTTGCCATCAGTTCCCTCCAAGCGAATGGAACCTGAAGTGAGATCACCAGCATTGGTGCCAGACAAGAAGCCACGCATCTATGAGGCCTTTCCCAGCTATGACACCTACCAGACGCTGCATACTCTCCATTGGATGCTTGATCGTAAGAAGATGAACCGACTTCGACTACAAGACTTCTGGGCATCCACCATGGAGATTCCAAGATGGATGAATGGCCTGACAATGGAAGAAGTGAATGTGCATTTCTCCTGCCAAGCTGATCAAGTTCGTCAACGACACGCCTCATACCTGGTCCATCAACCTGGAAGCCGCCTTCGGCATGTTCATTTGGATCTGGCCCACGGAGGCAGCTATCTTTCGTTGACGGATGAGCTGAACATCAAAGAAGAAGAGCTGGCAGATCTCTGGCCATTGGTCGAAGAAGCAGATGCTAAGGAACTGGCACAGTTCGTCCAGGAGAAAGCATTTGAGAAGGTGCTTTTGGAAGACATCCTGGCCGACACCGTGGTGATCGATGGCATTTGGGTGCGATGCTGGAAGTACAAGCAAGGAAAGAAGATCTTGAAGAGCCGGATGTGCGCCAGGGGCTGCTTTGACCCTCAGAAGCAAGAACTATCCACTCGTTCCACCACGGCCTCCCGATTGAGCCAGAGGATTCTGTTGTCAACGGCAGCGGTGATGAACTGCCTTCCTGAGTCCTGGGATGTAAGTGGTGCTTTCTTGAAGGGCCTGACCTTTGACCGCATCCGCGAGTTGTTGTTGAAGCAAGGCATCAAGACACCTATCCGATCTGTTGTGGTCATTCCTCCCTACAACAGCTGGAGACACTTGGCAAAAGTGGACCCCTCCTTCCACCTTGAACCTTGGGAGATTCCACGCTATGGTCTTTGGTGTTTGAAGCCAGTGTACGGCTTGAACGATGCACCTGTCGCGTGGCAGCTGAGTTTGGAAGAGTTCTTGAAGAAGCAGAAAGGTGTCGCCTCGCATCTCGACGACAGTTTTTATTTTTGGAAGGATCCAGCATGATCCAGCCAAGAAGCCCGCACTGCAAGCAGCTCTCACGACTCATGTGGATGACCTGGCAGTTGCTGGCTCTCCCTACTTCCTTGACGGTCTCTACAAGACCATGTGCAAGGAATTTGGCAAGATCACCAAAGAAAGCCTTCCATTTTCGCACTGCGGCTGCAGATATAGCCGCACCTCTTCAGGTCTGAAAGTGGATCAAAGTGACTTCGCCTCTCGACTGAAGCCGGCACCAGAACCTTCTGGACCCGATGATCGAAAGCTGACGCCAGAGGAGATCACGCAGCTTCGCTCTGTCATCGGAGGTTTGATGTGGCTATGTTCAACGCGACTTGACCTGGTCGCTGACACTGGGGTACTTCAGTCTTCAGTACCAAATGCTCAGGTGCGCCACCTTCGCCTGGCGAACCAAGTCGTGAAGAAGTTTTGCTCTCCAGATAAGCTTGACCTTGGCCTTCACTACCACTTCTTTCGGCCTGGCATCAAGCTGCGACTTTGCTGCTTCCACGACGCTTCATCCGCCACCAAGGGCAAGAGTTACGCCCAGGAAGGCATCATGGTGCTGCTCATGCCGGAACTGAATTCACGATGACATGCTCCGGCAAGATGAGATCACATGCAGCTCAGAGTGTGCCAAAAGGCTTTGTTGTTTTGGTCATATTTTGTTTGCCCATGGAGGGAAATCTAAGCGGGTTTCATACTCCACCAGCCATGCTGAAACTTTGTCAGCAGTGAACGGTCTAGAAGCTTCATCGATGGTGTCAACAAGATTGACTGAGCTTTGGCTGGATGAACCTGCGCCCAACTTGGCCACACTGACCAAGTACCAGGAAGGTGGATCTTCGATCTTCCCGGTCGACTCGGTCACAGATTGTCGAGATCTGTTTGAGCTGGCAACAGGTGCCAAAGGAGTTCCACAGGATCGCCTTCAACGCCTCTACATCTTGGCGATCAAGGAGGCAAGAGTGAGCGGTCGTTTGCGCTACCTGATCCTGGCTCCGACGGGATCCATGTTGGCAGACAGTTTGACCAAGCCCATGCTGTCACTTCGAATGATGATGTTTTTGAGCACCGGCTATGTGGAAGTGGAGAACTCCGGTGACCACCGAATCCTCCTCAGGAGACTCCCGACTTTGTCTGAACTACAGGAAGAGGATTTGTTCAAGAGTGACAAGCAGATCAAGGATGAGGTGAAGTTGAATGGCCGTGGAGTCACTTCATGGATGACTTTGGGTTTTGCGCCCTTTCCACGGTTGCTGCTGGCCTCAATGATGATGTACTCAGTGGCTGCCCAGAGCGATCAGCCCACAGAGCACCACGCCACCTATGACTATGGCGACCTCTACATGTTCATGATGATGTTGCTCTTTTACATGACCATGAGGTTCATGGAGTACATGTTTGTTTGGTGCACGAAGCCCACTGAAAAGCAGAAGAAGAAGCACCGAAAAGAGAAGGAAAGCGATTCTGAGAGCGGATCTGAGCGAGGCCCGGAAGTCGCAAGCGCTTCCAATGCTGTCGTGAACCGAAGTTTGAATTTGGAACCTCCAAAGCCGAGTACAGAGTTCCTATGGTTCAGTACGACAGGTGAGTGTTTTCATACCACTCCGAACTGTTCTGGAATGAAGAATTCCAAGAATAAAGTCCGAAAGCGCAGATGCCTTAACTGCTGCACCATCCATCACCAGAGCAGAAGCGGAGTTTGAATTTTCATGTCTTGACGTCCCTAGAGTTTTTGCACCGCAGGGTACCCTTGAAGCTCGAGTGAAAACAAGTTCTACAGTGAACTTCCATATTTCGATACTTTTGATCATGATAGCAATATATATATATATATGAACCGACTTGCTCGGCTACGTAGCGACTCGATTTTGGCCGCTGGGCTCTGGAGATTTTGGCAGATGGTCAGCTAGCTGGTTTCTCAGGTTCTGGGCGAACGCATGGCCCTAGTGGAGCATTTGTTTGCTCCAAAGGTCCCTCAAAACTACACCCTGACAGTGGTCCCATGGAAGACTATCTTCCATTATTTTCCTCAACCAGGTTCCATGTTAGTCTTCCAGGGTGTACTCAAAACCGGACTTCAGACAGCCCCCCCTCACACCAGGCTTCAGGTCAGGTTCAGCGTTCCCTCCGGATTCGGCGGATTCGGCATGAACACTGTTTTTTTTTGTTCTGTGTCCTTCGCCTTAAAAACCAAGGAGCCAAGTTCATGAGCGAGTTCGATGTTCATTCCCAAGGTGTTCGATGTTTGTTTATTTTTCGGAGAAAAAGACCTTCAACTAACTGTGTGCGGGAAAGACTCACCGGCACGGAGCAGTACAGGCTTTGGGCTGCAGAAGCCAAGCTCCGAGCAGAGAAACTTCGTTGCCTTTCGCTTCAATGGAGCAGGATGCCCAAAAAGTGCTGGCGCTGGTGGGCGATTTGCAGTGTTCCTTTTTTCTTTGCTTTGAGGCACGTCAAGGTGCGGTTTGGTTAGAGAAGGTGCTTGGCTGGGATGTGGTAAGGCTGGGATGCTGAGGGTGATCACATCACCAGTGAATCGCCTCGCCTTCGGATCTGCGAAACCCCATCGCTACGAGGAGCGATCGGACGCTACTAGGAACAAGGACGCTACTCGCTACTAGTAACCAGAAACTACTTGTAACAACGGCATCGCTACTAGTAGCAAGGTGCATCGCTACTACAAAAGGGGAAGAGAGAGAGAGAGAGAGCGAGGGAGGGAGGGAGGGAGGGAGAGGGAGTGAGGGAGTGAGAGGGAGAGAGGGAGTGAATCATTATAGGCTCGCTGGGCAAAGTATGACTGGTGGGGGTATTGGATCTCATTGAACAACGTCATTCTTTGGACATGGGGCACCATGGGGTCCAACCTCCAACCTCGGTCAGAAGACATGCATCACATGGCTCCAATCTTGGAAGACGTGATGTATTACTGAGAAGCCTTGGCATGATCACGCTACGTCCGATGGTAAAGGGTGCTGATGTCATGGAAGGATCAACCATCAATACCCATCCGTTTTCCAGGATGTGGTCCAGGATGATGGGTGCCGTCACCGCAAATCTGAGACCTTTGGCAATGGCTTTCACACAGCTGGGCTTTCCTATATGGGTTGGCATGTGAAGTCCTCCAGCCTGTGACACAGCTAGGTATGAATGGATCGGAGTCCACCCGCTGGGTCATCCAAGACCCCGGCCCTCCGACTCTACAGCTACCAGCACCCGACTCTACGGTGACTCTACAGGTGAGCCCTCCGTGTTTCCTTGTGACAAGTCCGGTGTCCAGAAACCACCTGTGGTCGGGTCTCCAAACAGGCCAGGAGGGTCCTGGAGGGTCCTGGTAGTTGGGATCCTGGGGATCCTTGTTCGGTGGGTTTGGGCCGGCGGCATGGATACCGATCAGCCAGTCTGCAAGAACAAGCTTCCCCCCCAGATTGTATAAATCCCTTCACTTGGGGGGGTTGAAATATCATCAAGACCTTGACTTCTGAGTTCAGGCAGGTCCCATGGACAATGCCTGCTTCGTTCACTCATCAGAGAACAAAAACTGAGGCATGGAGAAGAGTTCGAATTCGGCCGCCTGGAGTTGAACGGCCTTTGACCACCGGTCGTTTCAAGCAAGAAGTGGTGCGTCCGGGATGCGAACTCGGGATGGGACGTCCCCAGAAGACCCCTTTGTAGGAGGCTATAACAGGACCTACAAACAAAATATAAAACCAAACCCACCAGTGTATGGTCTCCAGTTTCTTTGGTAGAATTCAGAACTACTTGGCAACTGGAGCTGAGCTGGAGAACTGTACATACGCTCCCTTTTCGGAAGCGTGCAGTGTCCACCATCTGTGTCATCCGAACTCGGCGCCGCGCCATCCACGGAACCGATGATTCTTCCACCAGCACCGAACCCAACAGGTCTCCGAAATGGAGGGTTGTTAGGCCCTAACAGGGAGTATATAGTAGTTATGAATCTCGCATCTCGCCCATGTTTTTGTGGCATTGCCCTGGTTCCATGGTGCTTCAATGGTGGAACTCAACAACGCGGTGTATGTGGATGGGGGGTGTTGTTCGACTGGTGTGCAGCTTGTGATGGTGATGGAGGTTTGTTGCCCAGACTTGGGGGCTGGAGATCCCCAGTTCACCACTTTCCCACACATCCAGACGGGTACATGAGCAGCCTTTGGATGTGGTCTCGGTGCTTTCAAACTTCGTGTGGTCTTGGTGTGGTCATATGGGGCGGAGAAATCAACCCTCCCCGTGCGCAGTCGTCCGACCGGACCCGGTCGTAGCCCTGCCCTTTGGGGGCCGAGCAAGTCTGCGGTTTTGGAGTGTGCATGTGTTTACATAGCCAGAACCCATTCAAACACTTGGCAGGATAGCAAGCATGTTGGAGGACCTCCCATAACCTCCCGCCAACAAATTTACATGGCTTCCTGGAGGTCAACCCCGTACCAGGACCGACACCAGTCGAGGTGTCTGTCGATAGCCTCGATTCGAAGTGATGAAGAGGTGTCCAAAAGCCACCGAACGAACGGTTTCGGTCCTGGTAGGAGTTCATGGTCTTTCCGGGGGCCATGCCATGCCACGTAACATCCGATTCTTCCGTTCGGAGCGTAGATCTGCACCGCACCGTTCTCGAAAAATTGGGCACGTGCAACACTCGAGAAATGGATGCCCAGTACTCAGTGCATGTGGTATCATCACTTATGGCCTATGGCTCTCTTTATGTGGAGAGCCCTGGGATGTGAAGCAATTTCAAGTAGACATGTTGCTTCGACATGCATCCCGAACGTGGATCACAGAATCGTTCAACAGCAACCTCTCTCTTGGGTGTTCCACTGCAATGACCGGTTTGGCCCTGAAAAACCATCCCCCGAAATGGCTCCCATCGGTCGGGGTGTTCGGAGCCCGGGTTTTGGCTCCCAGGTGTCTGGAGCTGATCCAATGGCCAGAATCGGTCGAATCGGTCGAAGAACTGAGGAGAGATCTTCATCCATCAGATTATTGAGACCATTGAGTTTGTCGCTTGGTGGAAAACACGGCTAGGTATATAGCAAGCTATAGCGTTCAAGGACTTTTGTATGACACAGAGCCCATTCATGCGGAGGTTTGGGAAGACGATGCTCTTTTAAAGTAGTCACACACACACACACTTTTCAGAACCACTAGGCTTTCAGTGAAAACAAGATGAACCTTCCGTGTTGTCAAGGGGATCTTCCTCTTTGGTAGAGGGCTCCTTCGTCGTTCGTCAGAACCAAACAGATCAAACAGAGACAGGCAAGATTCAGGATGGTTTTGGATGGTTTTGCTTTTCCTTCTTTCAGAGGGTTTAGGAAGAGATCTCTCTTCCTTTTTTTCGAAACGCACCCATGTGTGGCCACCCCAGCACTTTGCAGAATTGGGCACCCAAAGATTGATTTAAAGAAAGCATGTCTCCGATGTGCTCAACTTTTGGAAATCACAGGATTTTTTGTCCAGTGAGCCTCAGTGAGCCCTTTAGATGTCGCGAGTTTCCCCATCCTCCCCAACATCAACCATGCCATTTCTACGCACCTACTCAGTCACTACGTACTCCGCAACTGGATTACGAAAGCCAGCCTTCGTAGAAGGCGCCAGCTGAGTTGTGTTTGGCGAGCGAAGTGAGTAAGTAGGGTGTCTGGCGGGGGGTGGCCTGAGAAAGCACTGCGTAAACTCGAAATTAGGTGGTGTTTAGGGTGCACGGAAGCAATGTTTTGGAGGTTGTGTTGGAGGTGATTTTTTTGTGATTTTTGAGCGGCTGGTGATGTAAGAAATGCAGTTTTCTTCATTTGCATCATTTGCGTGGTAAGGTGTAGTTATACCGAGGCCGATGTGTTGTAGCTTCGTGTTATATGTTCAAAACACTAATGAGACTTCAAATCCGTGGGCTGCTGCACGTTTCTCCAGGTTGCTGCACGTTTCTCCGTGAAGTGCTATACCTGACAACTGAATTGTAGCGGTAGACGGAAAGGGAAATTGACGTGCTAGACCTGGCAACTGAATTGTAGCTACCCTGGGTCCGCGCGCGCGCGCGCCTAAATCTAGGGCAGATCGGGAGCCAGCAAGGCGCGCGCGCGCGCGCGGACCCAGGGTAGCGGACCCATTGTAGCGACCGCTGCACTTTACTATCTCTCTTCACAACGTGCTCGTGGACAAAAATCGCTGGCTTTCGTTTTGCAGCTTCTCAGGTGGGTTTTCTGTTTGCTACGTGGCGCGCCACACCGGAAAACGGTCCTGGAGCGGTCCGCCCAGGTCTTAGGCACCGTCTCGCACACGGCCTCCTATTTGCGCTTCTCGGCGTGGACAGATCAGTTGGTAGGGTGTTGGATGCCAGGTAGTCAGCCTGGGTGTCCACAGATGGCTGGGGGCCGTCCAGCCAGGACACCGACGGCTGACAGGATGCTCCTGGGTAGGTGTTGGATCGAGTGAACTACCACCAAAGCAACAGTCTCGATGGAGAGGACGGGTGAAGTGGCTTTGTTGGGCCTGTAAATTGAGTTCCAGCTGACCAGCCACGCTCTAAACGGTAAACTGTTGCTTCACAGCTGTGAGCCTATGATGGACAGTTAATGGTTGAAAAATGTTGAAAACAAGTTCCGACTCGAGATCGAATCCATATTTCAAAAAGATCCATGTCAAGAGGTATGGTGGTTCTTTTTTGCGCCCACACCCCAGAAGCTATGTTTGTTGTTTCCCCTCTTGCTGGTGCCCCGAGTCAGCGCACGGGTGTGATGAGTCAGCCATGACAATCGATCAAAGCAGTGGCTTTCGCCTCTCATTTTGCTCGTTTGACTGGTCCTGCTCCGTGTTGGACGTGCGCGACGCTAAGTGGCGCCCGAGGCATTTGGGCCTTGTCCCTGGCGCATCAGCAGCTGTCCTTGGTGTTCTTCCAGAAGACCATCACCATGGGCGACTGGTCGAATTCTGCCGGGTGCGACGGCTCGTTCTTTGAGGGTGCTGGGCGAAAGAGAAACATAAATCCCATAGAAATCGGGGATTTGCAGGGTTGCAGGGCATACGAAGCAGTCCAAAGGGGTTCAAGTGCAAGAATGTGCAAGATATTAAGTAATTTCAACTTTGTCGTTGACGTAACGTTGGACGAACTCACTGAAGAAAGGGTCGACGAGTCCCAAATTCTGAGTGCTAGAATGCTAGACTGAGATGGTTCGGCACTGAGATGCACTGGGTACCTGAACATGAGCGATGAATCTTCGGAAGGTTCAACTCCTTGGAGGTGTCGTCCAATCCTCAGCTGCTAAATAGGCAGGTTTCCTTTTTTTCTATCGAGCCATAGGCATCAGAGAGATGAGAGGTGATTCACACCCGACTAATTAGCACTTCAAGACACCCACGAGCACCCCTTTGCTTGCTAAATCCGTTCGCTGTCTCCCATCAACATGGACCAAAGGCTTTGGGGTGTCCTTCGGCTGCCCCCAGACACGGTGCCCATGTGTTGTTTGCTACTGCTGCTTCGCCCACTGTGAAAAAACCATGGAATTTGTTTTCATTTGCTGCGAGACCTGGGCAGTCGTCTTTGTTTCTTGAATGCTTGGGGTGAGAGGTTGGGCAAGTTCAGGCCTGTCAAAAGGCGTGACCAGGACGTTTGGGCGGGTGACCAGGACAGGGCATGAAGGGATGGTTTGATGAGTTTCTTGTCCTAGAACGGAGGAATCAGGGGATCATTGAAGGTTGATTGTTTCTTTTGTTGTTGAAGACCCAGCAACGAAGGAGTTTGTTCCGCCCAATAGTCACCTATATGATAACCTATATGTATACCCTTTTCATCCCTTTTCCGTATAAGTTGACACTCAATGAATCCTTGAGAAATCCAAAACGGAATCGTTCCTTGTGGCACATCGCTTCGTGGGAGATGCCACGGAATCTCGGAGAATCGCTCAGGTTTGGAGATGTCATTCCCTTTGAACGGCATCGTGATTTACCTGATGTTCGGCGCTTGGTTCGGCATTACACTGGCAGTGCTGTTGGGCATGGACGTCTTAGAGTCGCCTGGCAGAAGTGGATGGGGAGGGGGAGGGAAGCTTCGGCTCTGGGTCTGAACTGGGTCATGTCTTGGGAAGTGAGGATAGATGTACTAGCCTTATTATTGGGATTGTTGGCGGAGGTTGGCGGTTTGATAGGGCGGCGTGCTTTTGGAAGCTAGGCGCGACTGTGCTTCTACTAGGGAATGTTTTGGTTACTGCGGCGACGTTCAGCACGAAACAGCAGACATTTGTGGGAGTGGAAGTGTTCAGGCAAGCCGCGGCGAGCCTCGCTCGCTGAAGGAGTGGATCAACCGCTTCGGCTGCAAACAGACACTCCAAACCAATACCTTAAGCCTTAGGGTCAGATGAGCTGTTTCTTGAGGCAGGATTTATGTCCGGATGGAGATGTTATTTCAAGCATCTATACTATATACATAGATTGATTGGTGTTGGTTCTTGACGGGACCCATTCACGGCCTTCTTCGGTTTGGAACCTGCCGACACCAGTGCCGCACCTGCCGCATTTTGGCAGACCTGGGCCGATGTGGAGCCCGACCTCAGGTGCTTCTTGCACACCTTGCGTTTGCATTGGGTGGAGTTCCAGAGCAAGTTCTACAAGGCGCCCCCCTGGACCCAGAGTCGGTGCCTCGTGACGTTGAAATCATCCTTGGGCCAGCGCATGGCCAGCGCCATGGCCATGGCATGGCCCTGGCCGTTCTTCCAGACCATTCTGCGGAAGACATCCGAAGGACCGAAGCAGGTGGTGAACTTTGCTTCGATTCCAGGGAGTTCTTCGTGATCGATGGATCCCTGTTTTTGTTGAGCCCAGATCGTCCGCCGAGTTTGCACGGAACGGACGGTCAGGCAGAGGGCCTCAAGTTCGCGCCCTTCTCCATCCAGAAGCTGGTGACGCCTACGGATGAGTAGAGTACAAGGTGAGATATGCCATGGTCAAGTGTAAGGGGGCGTGGAGGGTACAGTGAGAGGAGGGTACAGAAGAAAGATGGGGATAGGCGGGATAGTGATAGAAACTTTCAAGTATTCAAAGTTTGGATCAACTCAAGGATACTCAAGGATACTTGGATCAACTCAAGGATACTTGATAGGATCAACTCATATTGTTGTCGTGATGTCGTGCATTGGTGGACTTACATGAGAATGAATAGGTCGCCGAGGAGACCCCCTCACTGCCCCACATCATTGCCAATGGACCCAAATGCAAAAGTTGCTATTGGAAGTAAATCAATGGCTTTGGACCTTAGAGCTGAAAAACACCCTGGAATCCTAAAAGTAGCTGCCCCCACAGTGTACATAAATGTGGTGAAGTGGATGAAGATCACTTCAAGCAATATTAATTTGCATTTTGGCATGGTCCACATCATTAGTAGACTATTGCAGAATGACTACAGTGACTACATGCTGCTTTTTACTGGAAACGTCCGTTGCCAAATTAATGGTCTTGGTCCCACAAATGGTCTTGAGTCTTGGTCATAGGGGCAAAATCCGCTGATCTTCTCCAAGACCCCTTTTTTTTGCAGCCCTCATTTCCCCAGAGCTTGCCTCGTTTTTCTGCATCAGCCAGGGTGTGACGGTCCACCAGAGTGCCCAAGTGGTCCAATCGGGCCCAGAGTACGTTTCGTTTCGGGCGCGAGGGGGTCACTCGGGCGGTGTCCTCAACGGAGGACGTTTTGATTTAGCCATGGGAGCAGGGAGCTGGAGGGGCTCGAGAAGGATGTTGGACAAGGTTGGACTAGGTCCGGTCAGACTACAGAGGGTACAGTGCTGGATACTATAGCATAGCACATCATAGCAGTCATAGCACCGTTCTTGGCCGGCAAACAGCAGATTTTCAGTGTTGAGAAAAGGACTACAGGCAGGCTTTGAGCAGAAGACAGGGAAAACACATCGGACCAAGACCACTTTCTCGAGCTGCTCGCTGGACCTATGGGACTTGCCACACTGCGACAACATGCAGGGTGAGCCAGGACAGCCGCGGCCCGGTGTGCACAGCTTTCAGAGATAGAATGCCCTTAGATTTCATGGCCTGGATTCGTGCATATGGATAGTCAACAATCAATACATTTTTGCACTCTACACATCTCTATACCCACGTCACTCGACTGCAGTGATCAAGCCACGATCGTTCGGCATGTCAACCCAACGACGTCTCTTCACCTTCCGCTGATGCGCCGGCCGTCGGCGCTCCTGGGGGCCATCCCAGCCGTTGTACTGAAAAAGCTCGACGCGGTTCCGGCGCGCGGACGACGGGTCGGACGATGGCAGAGAGATGGGGGGTCCTCCCTGACCGGGCGAAGATGGGCTCGAGGTGAAGGATTCAAAAGGAGTATATTGTCAAGTCTTGGATCAGGGGTTGGACATGGATTTGGGGAGGTCTATGTGGAGTGCTTGGTTTGGGGTGCCAATGTATACCCTTTGACTCACTCGCATGGAAGTGGGAAGAGGTTGGCTTCCCACTTCCATGTGATGTGTTACGGGTGCTTCATGTGATGTCCAGTCGCATGTTTGCACCGCTGGGGCTGGCTTGATAGACCCCCTAGTAACTCAGTGCTACGCAAATCTGGCCTAGATTGGGGTATAGATCCAGGTCTGGGTAGGTTTTGGTGGTGGAAGGCACTGTGTCCGCCGTGCAGCCTGGCACTAGACCGTCCATGTGTCGGGTGAGCGGGGTAGCATTGAGACCGCCAGGCAATGGATGTGGAACGCTTCGAGGAGCGTGTGGAAGCCCGGCGATGAGTTCAGTCATGTTTGTGTCTTGCCGCATGGGTTCACGAAAAGCAATTCATTTCTCCTTTGTCAAGCTTTTGTACTTTTGTCTCTCTGACTCTGTGATACTCTGTGTGTGTGTGTGCGCGTGTGCGTGTGTCCTTGTTTGTATGAAGCCAAGCAGGAAATCAATCCCCAACAAGTTTCAATCAAGCTGCAGGGAGACAGCCAGTAACCTACTCGTCAGCCAGCCAGGGACCTTTGAGTAATGGTTGCAGGCTTTCCTGTTTCCATGGTGACGTGTTGCTGGCTTGGTTTGGCTTTGGTTGATGGGTGCCTCAAAGCATGGCCAGACCACATTCCAGGACGTCATTCAATGTCCATGGGTTCAGTGGGTAGCCTCAGAATTCACCATTACTTCCAAAAAAGGCTTCGAACCACCACATCATTGGAGCATCGTCATCCACGCCATGAAAAATGCATGGCCATGCAAGGCCCCCCCCACACCCAAGTCCACGTGTCAGTCCACTTCCTGGAAGTGCAGCGCATTGCAGCGCCATTCAGCGATATTCCACTGCATTCCACGGCCTTGGATCCAAGACAGCATGGCATGGCAGCATGGCATGGCAGTTTCGCTCAACTTCCAGACCCCCAGTCGCTGACGAGTCGGGGTTCGGTTTTCATCCAGACGCATCACGTGAGCACCGCACCGCATGAGGAGACGCAACTTCTTCAGCTTCTGTAGACCGCAACATGTGTTGCATGGTTTTTAGTGCCTTTAGGGTTCACCGTGTGTCCCTGCGATGGCCCTTGTGTCCTTGCCATTTGGGATCGCAGTTGGTGCATGCCTGGCATTGGTGTCCGCTGGCGATGCTGGCTGCATGCTGCAGCACAGGGCGAGGATGTTATGTGTTTGACAATCTTGGTGATGAGACTCTTGCATGACACAATAATGAGTCTCATATGTTAATATGTGTCTTGCATGACACTCTTGTAATGCACATTTGTTTGACACAATGTCTTCAGTCCCCTCATAAAACCCCCCGAATTCGCCGAGAAGAGCCCTAAGTGTTCGATGTCGCCACAGCGGGCTGATGCACGTGTGCACAGATGTGCACTCCCGGTCTGAAGCATGCCGTTCACGCCGTTCTTTTAACCGTTCTGATGCCATTAGGTAGGGTAGGGGATAACGTTTGGATGGCATGAGGAGGGAGCCTATGATATGCCATCCTCTTGTGGTTTAGACCATTTCCATGCCATCCATCCATCTATAGGGTGAAGATGCTGAAGTGTGTTTGGGGATTTCCCCTGTGAGGCTGGAGATCCGCAGAAAAACCAGACCTACAGTTTCTCGATGGACCTGGGTGGGGCCAAAAGTTCGTGTTTTTGCCACTGGTTCGGTCACTGAGGGAAGGCTCAGTGGTTTTTGAATCGAGGAGCCCAATTGCCACATGGGCAACGCCCATCCCCACGTCCGCTTTGTGTTGGGGATGTTTTTGTTCGTCATGTTTCGTGCAGGATCGCCTCGCCTACCGGAGCGACTGCCAGCTGGGCTCCAGCTACACTTCGGGTTGCAAGACACGTGCCGTGATGGAGTTGAAACCCTGTGAAGCGACAAGTCGGGAGGATCCGCAGGAGCTCAGCGCCTGCATCCAGGAGTTGGAGTGGCCCCAGGCAAACGATTTCTCGCAGAAAATAAAAAATCAGGAGACTCAAGAAGAGGCCATGACAAAGGCAGTGGAAGCCACTGGTGGCGGTTGGGGCTTACAGGTGTCCGCCAGCGTGGATTTTATGTCTCAAAGCACCAGTGCTTCTACCTCAGTCAGCTTCCAAATAGCGCAGGCCAGGCAAGTGCGGAAATCCTTCATTGAGCACGGGCGCACACTGACCTTAGCACCGGAAGCCAGAAAGTTATTGGAACAGAATCCGTGGGAGTTCTTGAATGTCTATGGCGGATACTTTGTACAGTCCATTATTCATGGAGGTTCTTTCGTTGGAACTGCGACTGTGAGATCCCTCGAAACTGGAAGTTCCCAAAGTCTCGGCGCCTATGCTGACTTGCAGTTCAGCGGCACCATGGGCTTCTCAGCAGACTTCAAATCCGTCTTCGAAGAGACCAAAAAAGACACGAGCAGCTTCACGGATGTGCAAACCGACTTTCAACAATTGGGAGGAATCTTGGATGCGCAAGATGCAGAGGTGAAAGATTCAGAGCAACTGGACGCTCTCAACCAGCGGTTTGAGAAATGGAGCGAGACCGTGAGCAAAGCGCCGCAACAGCTGCTCATGAGCTTGCAGCCATGGATGGCCATTGGCGAGGTGCACGAAATCTTGCAAAACTTTAATTCAAGTATCCGGAATCAAATTTTTGCCTAGTATATTTGGTGTCCCCCTGATGTGCTCGCTCATGTGCCCCCCTCTATATAGATGTGAAAATATTTTGTGTATTCACTCGCCAAATTCGAGGAATTTGTTCTACCATCAAACTTCCGACCAAGTGGTCGGTTCGCTGACAAAAGAAACTTGGTTTGTGGAAAGCCTCAAGGAAGATGCGGATTCACTTCAGAACAGGCGGTTGCAGGCTCGGTGCGGAACCCACAGCGAATCTTGTCTTCTCTGAGTAGACTTTCCACCAAAAAAAACTCTTCGAATAAACCCAACGACTGCTCGCAATGTCAGCAA